AAAAAAAAAAAAAATTAAAAAATATATTGATCCAGTTAAGTGGTTCTCAAACTTGGCTGTTCCTCAGAATTACCTGGGGAGTTTTTATTTTTAAATGTTGTGGGGCGGGTATGTCAGGTCCAATTAGTTGTTTTCGATTGGCAATACATACGCAAAGGAAGAGTAAAAGTAAGTCTCTTATTCCCCTATTTTCCCAGTGTACTTCCCCAGAGGCAGCCACTATTACCAGTTTCTTTTCTGCCCTTTCCAAGATACTCATTGCACATAAAGCATACATACATACAGTTTTTGGTTCCTTTTTTTCTAAATCACAAGTATAAATGTACTATCCACATTGTTCTTCACTTAACACCTCATTTTGGAGATATTCCCTTCCAATACATTTAGAGCTGCCTCGACCTTTTCAATGGCTACAGAGTATTCCATTGTATGGGTGTGCCTTGTTTTTATTACAGGTCTGGGCACCATTTCAAACACACAGATGCCAGGTATGCAACCTGATATACAATCTAGTTTGAAAACACCAAGTGTGGCTGGAAGAACTTTGGACTGGAGTGAGCTGGTCTGGGCTCCTTCATTATGGTATCTCACAGCCCTAAATTAGCATTAAATTAGGGACTTGGCTCCAGCCCCACTTTACTATGTATTCATCTAGTGGGCTTCATTTTCCTCAAATGTCACATGATGGTAATGTCCATCTGGTCAACATTATGAGGTGGTTGTGATCGGTGAAAAGTCAGTAAATGTGGGTGCCCTTTGCCCTCAACACACACAGCTTCTCTCAGCATGAACCTCTCTGGGGGAAGGGTGCTCACCTGATGGGGAGTAGCTGATGTGAGAGAACAATTAGAAGGACACTGTCCCCTGGTGATTTGCGATTTAACATACCAGGCTCAGGGCTCACTAGATCAGAAAGAAGGAAGTGTACTCACATTCTAGTTCTTATACTGCCTTTATTTTAAAGGTTATGGGACCTCAAAGCAATGTGTGTGTCTTACCAGGGGCTGATGGAATCTGTCATTATTTTCACTTAAAGGAAGAGCTAATAGATCTTTGAGGCAGTTTTTCATAGAAACTTATACTTCTCTCTTTGCTTCTGATCCCAGCTCTCTACCCCCACATCCCCACTAAAGAGACAAAGAATGGCATTTCTCCTTTGAATTGTGACCCTCTCTCTCGATTCTGCCTTACAGCAATGGTTCAGCATGTATAAACCCGTCACCTACAACACAAACCTGCTCACAGAAGAGACTGACTCCTTTGTGAACAAGCTGGATCCCAGCAAAGTGTTTAAGAGCAAGAACAAGATCTTAATCCCAAAAAAGAAAGGGCCTGTGCAGCCTGCAGGTGGCCAGAAAGGGCCCTCAGGTCCCCCTGCTCCCTCCACTTCTAAATCATCTGTCTCTGGAAACCCTGTCCGGAAATGAACACCTCCAGCTTTTCACCAGCTCCACAGTGGCAGTTCCCATGCACAGATGGCCCTAACCTCAGATTCTGTGTATGGAACCATGGGCTTCTTCCCATCTCGGTGGCCAAAATCCTAGGCCTTTGCTCCCACTGACATTATCCAGGAGTTGGAAGGGCATACTGAGGTCTCCCCAAGAGTTCCTCCCACAACTAGGTGGTACTGTCCTGTCTCCAGAAGCAATAGAGAGTTTTGGATCTTGTTTAAGTGCCCAGATAGATCTTAGAACTTTCCTCTGTTTCTGTACCCAACCCTCGATCCCTTAACATGATTAGATAAGTCCTCCCCACCAAAGAAACCACTGGTTTTGACCCATGAGGCATTAGAACTTTGCTGTTCAACTGGAAGCCACTAGTTGCATGTGGCTATTTAAATTATATGAAAATTCATTTCCTCAATTGCATTAGCTACATTTCAAGTATTCATGTTGTTAGTAGATTCCGTATTAGCACAAAGATATGGAACGTTTCCATCATGACAGAAAGTTCTGTTGGAGAGCACTGCATTAGAATATGTTCATACTGTTCTTCCTCAGATCAATTTTTGTTGTTAGATAATGTTGGTGTCTTAATTTGATGGGTCACAATGTTCCATGAAAACTCTTGAAGATAACAAGTGTACATTCTTTATATCCTTTACTGCAAACGTATTTTGTTCTGCTCGTTTCTTTTTTAGTATCCTATAAAGTTTGTCTTCCTCGTCAGTTTCCTCTTCAGTTTCTTGCTTCCAGTTTTGTGTTGTGATATCTGTACATTTGCCAAAGTTATTTTTTTAGAGGAGATGTACTTCTGCTGTACTTTATTCTAACCATTTAAAAACAAAAAGCAAACTCTCAAACATTGTTTTGCAGGACTCTTCATAAGGAGTTTTAATGAAGCCAGTCTCTGTTAACAAAAGCTTTCCACTTGCTTTGCCTGCCTGTTCTCACCTCTGAGTTGTCCAGCCCTGGCCATCCTTCAGACAAGCAGTCTCCTGCATAGAACAGGGTAGGGTTCCAAGAGTTCCTTCGGAAATAAGTTGCCTGTAATCCAGAAATCATTTTCCCATAGACACATAGGGGTATTAGACCTCTAACTAGCCCACATATGCCTAATATTTGACACAAGCTAAATCTGAATTTACCTAATACACCTAATAGAATTTCTGTAGAAATAGCGCTCAAGTTTTCTATTAGGAATGTCTGTTTCCTCCTCTACAGCCCCAGCAGTGAGCAGAAGCAAGGCCTTCACTCTACTTTCTAGGAGGGAAAGTAGGGAATCACCCACCCAGCCTTAAGGTCCTTGGGTAGCTACAGGTTTTGTGCTTAAGTCCCAGAGGTTGGAGAATGAAAAGGTCTGAGGGATGAGGTGCAGGGGTCTGTACTGTCTGCACACTTCAATCCCAACTGGCTCTCTCTCTTTCCTGACTTCTCTCTACCACAGTGATTGGCAGGCTTCCTTCCTTTGCACTACCTCTGCCTGCTAATCAACCTAGGGTTCCCCTCTTCCATGACGCCCTGGGGGACCAAAAGTAGTCCCCAGGATTTTCCGCCTGCACTTTTGCTCTGAAACATTTTGAGTATCTATGAAGTTTTAAAATTTTTGTTTTGATTGTTGACAATAGTGATAAATATTGATGAAAATGAGGCTTCAGTCCTCCCTCCACCTATCACTTTCCATAGCCCCTGAGGAAAACCAAGGTGAAGAGTTGGCCTTCAAGGATCAAGGCAAACTGTGTAGCTGCCTGCTTCCTTATTTTTGTAATAGTTGAAAGTCTTGAAATATTAATGCTCAAAAGTCTTTGGGAGCATAAGCTGAACTTCATGTTAATAGCTTATTCAGTTGCTTTCAAATATGTATACTTTGACCATTCTGATTCACTTCTAATGGAAAATGTTTAAAATAACAATACCTCTTACCTTTGCAATCCCAAAACTAACCATTTACAATTCAGCATGGTCATTTAAACATTTTTGTGTTTTTTATCCATGACATGACTCTATCAAATCTTCCCTAATTTAGGAGATATTTTAGCCCTTTTAATTGCTTAGATTATTACACTTCAAACGTTAAATGTGCAACAATTCATGGAGTGGGAGAAAAGGATAGAGACCAAGTTTTAAAAGAAAAATAGCTGGAGTTTAGTCTTCCAGAAGTATTTTTCTGGCCAGAACTGATCAAATCACAGGGATAACTGACAGCACCAGATAAGAGATAGTCAAGGTTAAAAGGGAAGTGAGAAGTCATGTCACCTTCCATTGGAGCCCCTGAGTTATAGTACTTCTAAATCAGTCCAAATCAACCCTGGTCCAGTTCTAGGTTCCACAAGTGAAGCAGCAGAGGAACTAGGAGAGCAGTGGTGCCCTTAATATCAGTGGGAGTCCTTCAAGTGGGAGTCCTCAAGAGGTTGTCTAGGGAAAGGGATTATGACAAGGAACTACTCAAGACCTGCCTCAGAAGGGGCGGGGCAGGGCAGGGCAGTGAGGAACAGGGCCAGCTACCTAACATGCAGGATTCAGTGGAAAATGAAGATGTGGGCTTCCTGTCCAAAAATCAGGAAAACAGTGCCATTATAGGTACTAACATACAATGGTTTTCCTTTCTTCTGGGGTGTCTCTCACAACTTAAGTACTAACATACAATGGTTTTCCTTTCTTCTGGGGTGTCTCTCACAACTTAAGATGGTGTTATTTGCTACTTAATGCTGTTGTAAGAAAAATTAAAATTTTACATTACCAGCATGTATTTTACTATTCATCTTTATACAATTTTTGTACAATTCCAGTTTTAAATGAAAACGAGCATCTAAAATCATGTAAAATCATGAAAATTGCACTTTGTATTTTATACCTTATGTGTACGTGCTGTATGTATATGTAGTTCATTCTTACAAGAACAGTGGAAAAACTGCACAAAATTAGCTCAACTGTTACTATTTCACCTCTTGATATGTGCACATTTTATCAACACTATCTTCAACTTACTGATGAGTAAGGGAGAAAAAAAACAGAACTACAGGCTGCCCTGTTTCCCTTTTCATTTGTGTCATCATTTGCAGCATAAGTGGTTGGCTAGTACAGGAAATTAACATCATGAGTAAGAAAACATATACTAGGGCTCCATGGTCATTGGCATTCTTAGAATGCCATTGCCTTTTTTCTGTGTTTGAAGCAAGTCTGGTTCAAATGGAAAAGTTGCCTCTTGGGGCTCTCAGCACCACCACTTACTTGTAGACCTAAGATGTTTACCTTGTACTCACTTTGAATCTCTCTGAACTCTGATGCATCGTGGGTCCACTGGAATTCTGTGCTCATGGGGCATCACGAAGGTTACATGTGAATGGGGCACTAAGGCACACTGGACACACACATTGCACATACCTCCTCTGCTCACGTGCATGCTCCATTGTCCCATCAGACTGCATTTATATAGCACAAGTTCAAAGATAAAATGAAGAATTTCAAGATACTGACAGAAGAGCACTAAACCAAGTGTGAAGTCATTCCAAGTACGGGCCCTGTGTGGCTGCACAGGTCACCCACCATTGAAGCTGGGCCTTGGTGAAGGTGGAAGGGAGCACTTCTGGCAAAAGACTTAACAACATGGAGGTGAGTGGGTTAAATGAGGAAAAAACACCCATGGATTTATGTTTTGAAACTGAAGCAATTAAAATGGCAGTGGGCTCTACTATAAATCAATTGCCCAAGGAAAAGACACTAGGCTGGAATCACAAAATGAGAATAAATGGCAGAATGCCTCACAATGCATTGATGTGGTTAAGGTTGTACATAAAGTGCCACATCATCATCATGCTTGCAGGGAAGTAACCAAGCCCAAGATAGGAACGAAAAGGGGCAGTATGCACATGATGATCCACAGAATCTGTGATTAAAGATGATGTGCACCAGTGTCACAGGAGCTGTGTGTAGAAAGTAAGGTACCCAAATCCCCCTGCCACCTCGTACACAACCCAGGCCTCCAGGACTTCTCAGCTTGGTCAAGGTGGGATTGGCTGGCTCCCCACCCACCAGGCCCACCCCTGGTTCAGTCTGTGCTGTATGTTTTGAGTATAGCTGACTACTGATACCCAACTTGCAGCTATTTTAAGTGTTCTAAAAGAACAAAAAAATAACTAGGAACCAGTGAGTCAAGCCAGGATAGATCATTTCCTATCTTCTGTCCTTGGGGAAAGTTATTCAACATCTCTCATCCTGCTTCTTTATATGAAAAATGAAAATGCGGAATGGCTATAAGGATTCTATTAAATATACATCAAGTGCTCATGCAGAGATGACTTCAATAAATATTTTAACTATTTTAAAAAATCTCTCAGAAAGTCCATTTTCGCTCCATGAATTGCCTAGCAAACACAACTGATTTTTCTACCAAACAGACTGCCTTTTTTGAAAAAATTGATGATGCATTTTAATGTCATAGACCCTCACTGAAATTGCAAAGACATTTCATCCTGTATCTTAGGCAATTTGGTGTTTTTATTTTTACTTCTCTGATAAAATGATTTCTGATGCCTGGTCACGTCTAACTTCTCTAAAAAAAATAAATGATTTCTGATGAAAAGCCTAGAAATAGCTGCAGAGTAGTTGATAAACTAAAATTCTAATTTTAGTTGATGACTATCTCCCAGGCCCCAGGTCAGGTCCCTAAGAGGAAGGATCATGACTCTCTTTTTTCCCTGCCAAATCCCCAGTGCCTGGCACAGGATTACCTCCATAATAACAGGCCCTCAGATCACATTTGTGATGGTTGTATAGTTTCTTAGGGCTGCCATAACACATTACCATAGCTTGGTGGCTTAAAACAAGAAATCTATTTTCTCATAATTCTGGAGGCTACAAGTTCAATGTCAGCTTTATTGAGCCAAAAATCAAGGTATCAGTGGGGCCATGCTCTCTCTGGAGGCTCTAGGGGAGAATCCATTCCTTGCCTCTTCCAGCATTTCTTGGTTTGTGGCCACATCCCTCCAATCTCTGCTTCTGTCTGCACATCGCCTTCTCTTTTGTGTTTCTCAAATCTCCCTCTGCCCTTCTAAGAGCACTCATGACTGGATGGTGGACACACCCAGATAATCCAGGATAATCTCCTATGTCGAGAGCCTTAATCACACTTGTAAAGACCTTTCCTTACAAGGTAACACCTACAAGTTCCAAGGATTAGGACCTGATATCTTTGGGTGGCCGCTATTCATCCTACTCCTACAGTGGCATTTGGTGATACACCATCTCAGGGCCATGAGCATGGAAACAATGGATTTGGGAGCCACGGACAATGTGGAGGCCACCCACAGATCAGAAGCCTGGAAACCAAGCCTCCTACCCCTGGCCCCAGCTCTTGCTCCTGCAGTGTGTTGAATAACAGACTCAGAAGAGAACAAAACTCGGTCTTCGGCTCCCAAGGCCCTGAGTACTATTCCACTCCATCCCCAAATCATTTTTAAACAGAAAGAAAAAACCATAATGTTGCAAAGAAAACAAAAACCTAGTCATCTTTAACAGGAAAGTATTTGCCTTTCTTTACTTTCCCAGCAGTTTTGTAATTTCAGTCTATATTAAGACATAGAAGCTAAGACATACAAGCAAGAATATTTATGGTAATGACCAGAAAGACAATAGTTTCTCATAAGTGTAAGGTACTATTAACTTAAATGTTCTTAAAAGGTCTTTTAGAGAACTGTACTATCCTGAATTAAAAATTGCTAATAGAGGTTGCCAGAATGGCCACAAGGAGGGAAGAAGTGAGCAATAGGTAAAATCCTTCAGTTTCACTAAAAACTACTAAACCACTAAGTTTAAAAATGCAGACTGATTTTTCTTACAGGCTCTTCTAGGCCTTTTTGATAGAATCCCTCAGTGGAATTGAATAATCCAAAGAGAAGAGAAATGATCCAGAGCAGAAGGTTCTAGAGCTGCCCCGTAAGCAGGGCTCACAGGGACTCTCACTGGAACATCTTTTCTATACACACACACACACACATGTACGTGCATGTGATATGGGGTCTATGTTGCTGAGGCTGGAGGGCAGTACCTACTCACAGGTGTGATCATAGTGCTCCACGGCCTCAAACTCCTGTACTTAAGTGATCCTCCCGCCTCAGCCTCCCAAGAAGCTGGGACTACAGGTGGGCACCACTTTGCCTGGCTCTCAATGGCCCATCTTGACTGCTCGTTGACATTTGTGCACAGGACCTCTGGGCTCGCCTCCTGTAGCATGTCTGTTGCCACTGAGTTGGCAGGCACTTCTCTGGGTGAAGAAAAGAGAGATGACAAGAGCTGGTCCCTTACACCACTTCTCATGTTCCTTCCATATTACTAGGCATGAAAAAATGTTTAGGTGACTCAGTTGCCGCCACCTTCTGGTGTTCAGAGTAGGCAAGGATGAGGCTTGGGTCTCTGGGCACACAGCCTGAAGAACACCTTGCTCCAACACGTCCTAGTGGCTCCGTTACTTGATAGTGATTAAAAACCAGTTCTGTCTTGGGGAATTATATTTGGTTTTGCCAGGTTCTCAAAAACACCATCTTTAGTCTCTAACTCCCACCTACCCCAGGAAAAAAAGAAGAAAAAAATTTACCATGTAGCTTAGTAGTTTCCAAACTTATCTTCATATTAGAATTAGGAAGATGGAGATGAGATCTTTTAAACATTCCAGGCCTCACTCCAGACCAATTAAACCACCATCTCCGGTAGTGACACAGATAGCAGTAGTTCTTGAAGCACAGGTGAGTCCAATAAGCAGACCAGGTTCGAACCAGTGCCCTGTCTTATTCCCATACTACAGTGGGACTATTCAAGATGCTGTTCTCTGAGTACTTTTTGATCCCTAAAATGAAATTAACATTATTTATTCAGCCACTTCCTTCTGAATGTGACCTTTTATTCTAAAGCAACAACTCAGGAGAATACCAAAGACCCCCAGGAGGGTATCAGTGTATTTGTTCATTAAACAGTGTGACAAAAATGCAACTTCCTTGTTTGTACATCCCTATCCCGTGTGATACACCTATCACCCCATGTCTGCAGGGCCAAGGCAATAGGAAAATGCTCTCACAAACTATTAAACCATAAGTAGAAATAACACACATGCTATTTAGAACCATAAACAAAATGTGTATTAATACCCTATGTCTCCTTTTCAATAAGGTGGTTAAATAAACTCAATTGTCTGTACTATAGAGACCTAACTCTCCAGGTTCCAGGCTCTTCTGGGATGTTCACATCCATCATGTCTTATTTGACAATGCCTGCTTGAAAGAGCTCCCTGTCACTTAATCAGTAAGGATGGAACAGAGGTGGGGACACAGTCACAGAGCCCTATGCGGTGGATATTTTTACCTTTGGCTTTTTAGGCAATACTACTGCGCATTGTCTATAAATCATGTATGCCCAGATGTAGGAAAGCAGAGTCACAGAGGTTTTGAAAACAAGACAAAGATGGAACTAGTGATGTGATGATCATTCAACTCCTCCCCCACAATACCTACCGCAGTGATTTACCTTTTCCTGTTTTTGGAGGCAGAAGTTCTTCACGGGGAACCGTGTGACCTAAGGGGCTTCCATGGAAGGCTTGGGCACTACCTTGGCCTCCTCGGCAGTGCTCACAGCAGCTCCCCCTGTGATCTTAGCTCTTGATGACCTGTACTGGAGAACCAAGTACCATCATGCACTGCATAATGACATTTTGGTCAATGACAGACTGCATAAACAATAGCAGTCCTGTTAGATTATAATGGAGCTGAAAATTCCTATTGCCTAGTGACATTGTAGCTGACATAGCATTTCAGTGCACCGTATTACTCACATGGTTATGGTGATGCTGGTGTAAAAAAAGCTACCATGCTGTCATTTATATAAAAGTGTACTTAATGTCCTAGGCCATCATATTCATTCACCACTCTGACTGACTCCCGCAGAGCAACTTCCAGTGCCCTATACAGGTGTACCATTTTTATCTTTTATACTGTATTTTGACTGTACCTTTTCTATGTTTGGATACACAAATATTAATACTTACCATTGTGTTACGATCACATAGAGTACTCAGTACAGTAACATGCTGTATGGGTGTGTAGCCTAGGAGCAGTAGGCTATACCCCACAGCCTAGTTGTGCAGTAGGCTGTGCCACCTGGGTTTGTGTAGGTACACTCCATGATGTCTGCACAACAATGAAATCACCTAACGGCGCATTTCTCGAATGTATCCCCACTGTGGAGTGATACACGAGTGTACCAAATGTGCAATCTAAGGTTCTGTGGAGACAAAGCTTTGAATTTCCATTTTGTTTTGGTGACTTAGAAACTTTTTTGAGAAAACTCACTTTTACTTAAGAGGCAAGTGAGCTGCAGAATAATTGAATTTGTAAAATGCTACTCTAATTTTTGCTTCCGCATCACAATGGAGCAAAACCAACCACACGGGTAAGGTGATCTATATTAGGTTACCCATGGCCAACATGTCCTGCAACAAAGACTTATACCCAATTAAATCAACAGTTTCAAAGAGCGCAAAATTGCTGATGCTACTCACTCTATTAACAAAATAAAACCCAAAGGGCCTGAAGGCCTTTCCATGCAAGGGTGTTTCTGATGAAACAGAGGACAGGTTTCGATTCCAGAGGCGGCAAGCCTGTGAAGCTATGGCCCTATATTCCGGGGAATAAAAGTTTCTCATTATGGCATTAAACTCTATTTATTTAGTATTTGAAACATGGTGTACATTTACGTATTTGTATAAACATTTAGTACATCTAAAATCCACAACTGGTAAACAATCTGTGCTTTCTTTTGTGTACATGTTTGGAGTTTACATCCGGATATTTTGGTGTTGTGGAGACCCAGTCTGTGAATCTAATCAAATTGCCTCATGTTACCATAATAACTGTGACAGAAGTGATTTGCTCCTTGAAGGGGCTGTTCCTTGCCCAGAAAAGGTGTCACACTTTGGAACAAATAAAGCAAGTGTCAAGGAATCAAGAGGAACACAGCTGACACGATGGAGAAATTATGTGCGGGACACTCCTGGGGATCCAAGTCAATGCGTAGCGGGCACCACAAGCCATGTGGTGACACCTACAATCGAGCACTCCCTTTCTGAACCATCATATGTTAGGGTCAGGTCTCCCTCGCTCCCACGGGAAGAGTTCTGTCCAGCAAGAGCTTGCCCTCTGCTCAGCACATTTCTTGGGGTGCCCCACGAGTGTCAGAGCTGCAATTCCGATGTGCCGACCAAGCCCAGGGCTCTGGCTTCTTCTGGAGTCAGGCCGCTCTTCAGGGTCCTTCGCACTGCAGCAGCACCCGCAGATCACAGCCAGAGGGAGGAGAAGAGAAGGGGGTATTAGCACGGGTAGGGCAGTCGGCACACCAGTTCCTTCCTCTCCCGAAGGACTCCCAGGGAAGCCAGAGGGCCCACACTCTGCAGCACTCCACTCCTGCTGATGCAACCTGGCTGGCTGGCTGCCTGCTAGGGTGCAAAAATCTTGGGGCTACAACAGGCTGACCTGAAGATATGGGCACTGAACTGGAGAGCCAAGAGGAGTTGGGGTGACTTGTAAAGAGGGGTGAAGGGAGGAGAGGCTTGCCCTCACGAGGTTTCCAAGAAATGGGCGCAAACTGCAGAAGTCCAGATGGCATGCTGAGACCTTAGCATCTGCCCAACATGAGGAGCGTATCAGAGCTGGAAAAGAAATTCCAGAGCACTGGAAAATGTGAGTTCCAGTGATACAAATTGGGTAAGACAATAACTAGTGCATAATCAAAGGGCCTCCAGAGGCAATGACTAAAATAACCAGTGACTCCTTGCAGAATGCATGCCAAGGAGCAAACTGCCAAACAACTTCTGGGTGAATGTGGTGGGTGTTTTGTATGAAACACGCAAGGCTTAAGAAGGGCCAATGACCACCTTCATTGAGGGTTACGACTGACAATTGGTGGGATGCTCGTGTTTAACTGACTTAGAATTGGCTGGTGTTTAGCTTGACATCATAGCTTTGCCTATTGTTTAGTATTGATCAATCTCAACGGCTGACTAAGGGTGAATGAGGAGGCAGCTGCCTTTCCCAAGACAATCTTTTCATTTGAAAGGTTGACTAATTACATTTTCCTTGATTTACAAATTGCATTTGGTCTACTGTGTATTTCTTTAAAGGTCATACAGAGTTTGGGGGTATTTATTCGATTTTTTAGAAGAGGCATGCTATGGATCTTGTCTAAATCCCAAATCAGTCAGAGTCCCTGAGATGATCAGGGCAGCTGTTGATCAGAGTCTGGACAAAGTAAAGCTCACCTTAGTGTCTTCTTGTTTCCCTTGCCAGACCCAGCGCCCCTCATCTCTTCCCCACAGGCCAGGGCCCCACCTCATGGGTCTGCAGGCAACACCCCATAGTCTATGCCTCCCCACTGTCCACTGAACAAAAGCTCACTTAGCCTGAGGACAAAAGAGCTGAAAGAGCCATGCCCATGGTAGAAGGAATGGAGGCTAACATCTATTAATAAATGTTTCTTCTCTCCCAGGAATCAGTACTTTGAATAGGGGCCAATATCTAATCCATCAATTGGTCAATCAACGAATAATTTATGGAGAACCTACTGTGTGCTCAGCGTTTAACTCAAGGACTCAAAACTCTTAAGGAAAACTCACAGACATTAAGTATGGATTTTTGCAAAGACACGAGGTTGTGTGGTGAGGGGTACCCTCAAATCATACCACCCCACACTACTGCACTTCCAAGCCTAGCTTTGGGCCCAGAGCCATCCATACACAGCGGATCTTGTGCTAGCTATCCCTCCCCCGACCCCTTGGACTCCAAACCAAGTGTCTAACTTGACTAGACAAAATATTTGGCTCCAGAGTCTTGGCTAGAGGCAGATGACATTTAACTGAGTCATGGAATTCATTCTATGGGGCAGCAGTAAAAATACTAGTTTATAATAACTTTTTATATTCTTTAAACACATCTTAAAGTGTTTGTTAAAGAAAGATAACAATTTTAATAGCAGAAAATAAGATAAAATCTCTCTCTTGGGCAAGAAAGACCCCTTGCTGAGACCTCTTAAGCAAGATACAAAATACTGCCTGAAGAAGTCCATGCTGCACTAGCTGGGCAACTTAAATTTCATTAGCTGCAGAAGAAAGCATGGACATGAGTCTATGAACCACAATCTTTGTGCATTTAGGTGTATTTCTTGGCTGAGTAACTATAGAAGACCTCACAGATTGGTGGGCATTTTACCCAAGAAGGTACTTAAAGATGCTTCTTTAACACTTCTGTTCACACATTTGCCTTAGTCCCGTAATTGCTGTGTTCGGTTCATATAAATATAGCACATGTAATAACCTCCTAATAGCTATGGGCATTGGGCCAGCCTATCTGGGACATGGTCAGATAGGTCAAAGCTAAACCATCCCGCATCAGCCTTGCTGCCTGACAGCAAAGAGGCTGTGCCCTCTCCCTCAGAGGCCTACTCAGTTTTCATGCTCCAAGCCACTTGGGACCCTCACCCACCCCTTCTTCACCCCTCCACCCTGGGCACATGTGTCCTTGATGTGGGGAAAAGCCAGCATAGGCTTAGTTCCCTTTGCTTGGCCCATGAGTCCCTGAAAATTTGAGTATTCATAGAAATATCTCCCCCATTTATGGAATCCTACTTTCTGTGACCTTCATAACAATTCAGATACATTCACGTATTAACCCCTTAACGTAATGAAAAAGACCTTGAGAATCTGAACCCTCAATTCACTTTACCACTCGAAGGAACGTGTGAAATGCAAGCAATCGGCTGAAATCAGTTTCACACCGATTCAAGTCACGCACAGAAAGGGCCCCTTTGGTTGTCCCTTCATCCATCCGTCTGCTCACCAGTTCATTCGTCATTTAGCAGACGTCACCTGAACATCGACCCTGAGCCAAGTGTTGCGATTAGAGCCTCTGTGTCATGGCGGCAGGGACACGGTGTGAGGAGAAATGCTCAGGGCAGCAGACCATGTCCGGACAGGGAGCTGGCTCTCACTCAGAGAGTTTCCAGAAAACAAAAAAGGGCTGGGGACATAGGAGAACAGAGGGACCAGCAAACAGGGCTGGCGGGATATAGAATCATACAGTCAACTTGTACAGTAGAAACAACTCTCCTACCAAATGGAGGGACTTCTCGAGTCCAGATGGGGTGAGGTGGGGGCTTATGGTCTGGTAAGACCACACCCACCCTCTCCGCTCCCCGTTCCTACGTCCGGCTTGAACGCTCTGGCTGAATGGAAGCCACTCTGCAGCCTTTCAGACGTGACGGCCTCCCCTCCCTGAAGCTGCTCAGTAGAAAACAGACTGGAACCATTTGTCCCCACCTGCCTCGCAGCTCCGCCATAGACAGCGAGGGTCAATCTGATGGCACCAGCAGCCGCTGTGTGCCCAGGCACTGGTGACAGCTCCCATGATGCTGAAGTGACAGCAGGGGGATCTGACACAGGGCACCTCTGCTGTCAACATGCAGCACAGGAGTGTCCGGGAACTCGAGGAAACACCACAAGTTCTTTCTCTTTTTTTTTCCTCACTAGAAATGAAAAAATGTCTTAATCCTATAAAGTTCTCTTTGTTAAGATGAGTTGAATCTGAGAACAATGGCAATGGCGGCTGCCATTTACTGAGTGTCTCCATGGACTGTTTTTCTTTAATCTTTATGGAAGCTCTATCAGGGAGATAACAACAAGCTCTGTTGTGAGCAAAGGGCAGCACAGAGAGATCAAGTCACTGGTGCAAGGGCACACAGTAAGTGGTAGAGAAGGATTTCAGCCAGGATGTTGGATTACAGCCCATGCTGGAAACAGGTGTGTCCTCCTGCTACCTGGCAGGACATTTTTTTCTTTTAAGAGACAAGGTCTCACTTTGTCACCCAGGCTATAGTACAGTGGTGCAATCATGGCTCATTGTAGCCTCAAACTCCTGGCCTAAAGCGATCCTCCTGCCTCAGCTTCCTGAGTAGCTGGGACTATAGGTGCATGCCACCATGCCCAGCTAACTTTTAAAAATTTTTTTGTTGCCCAGGCTGGTCTTGAACTCCTGACCTTAAGTAACCCTCTCACCTAGGCCTCCCAAAGCGCTGGTATTACAGGCTGCCAGGACATTCTCTGACCATCTTTCACATCAATGGGAAATTGACCAAGCTTTATTTCTACATTCCAGAAATCCATTTGTATTCTTTCACCTTTAGATCACTGACAGATGTTTTTTCATTTTTTTGCACATAATATCAAAAATAATTTGAAAATACATTTTTTGATTTTTTTTTAAATCCCTAAGATTCTGAAGATTTTCTGTTTCCAACCAGGTATACTGGGAGCAGTGTGTCTAGGATTAAACTAGTATCAGAACTTCAAGATGCCTTAAATGTCTGTGTCTTGGTTAGGTTGTCACCGGCCCTGCTGCTGTCCCACACTGCCCATTTATCCTCTCCACTTTTCCAGAGTGTCAAGGTCATGAAATGTCCCCCACAGAGCAGAGGAGACTAAGGAAATGTATTGGCTAAATGCAATGTGGTGTCCTGGGTAGGATCATGGAGCCAAGAGAGGACCGTAGTGGAAACACTGGTGAAATCTGAATAAAGCCTACAGTTTAGTTAATGGTACTGTACTGATGTTATTAATAATTTCTTAGTTTTGATCAATAGTCCTGTGGTTACACAAGGTGATAACATTAGGGGAAGCTGGGGGAAGGATACAAGGCAACTCTCTGCACTATTTTTGTAACTTTTCTGTAGGTATAAAATTCTCTCAAAGTAAAATGTTAAAACAATAAAACCTGGGACAATGTTAAAAAAAGAGGTTACCAAACCTGGTTGACTTAAACTCAACTTCTGGGACTCACCCCAGACACACTGAACAATAGTCTCTGCGAGAGGCCCACATACTGCATAGTATTCTTCTCCCGGGCATCAGATGGTCAGCCAGTGACTCAAATCACTGCCATCTGAGACACAGGGAAAGGCAGGGCCCTCAGAAGGCGAAGGCTTTTGTGGTGGCAGGGTTGAAATCTCCGAGTTCCACCTAACACAAAATGAAGTGCACTCACACTGAGACGGCTCTCAGACATTCTCACGGCATTGGGCACTTCCTGTAGGCGCTGCTCTGGCTGTGGTGTCCTTGGCTTTGCAGAGGCCCTACGACACTTTTCCTCCTGTGACTGAGGCTACAATAGCATCCAGAGCTCCTTAAACATCTCTCTGGTTCCTAGGCAGGAACTGAACAGAGAGCAGTTAAAATGCAAAAGCTGACCACCTCCTACGAGTTATATCTTGGGCGAGCAAAGGGAGAGCATGGAGTTTGGCCGGGAAGGAAGCAGAAGTTCTCTCCATTGTTTGACGGGAGAGCCTCCCTAAACTCGGGGAAACATACAGATAAGAAGGAAGGGTGGCTCAGGAAGCCACAGACTCAGAGTTTTAAGCAATATTTCAAGTTCTAGGTAGGACAAAACTGCCTTTCCCCTTTGCAGATTAAGTCTAGCTCATCAGTTCTCTGTCTGGTGTGTCACAATAATACTACCAAGTGCCTTGTTGACAATGCAGCCTTTGTGTGCACAGGCGCCAGCATCCTGGGGGTAAAAAGAGAGGTGGAGACAGGCCTGGCCTACTTATTGCAGCAGGCAGGGCGAGGTAGACAGTGGGGCAGGGGAGGTGGCGATGGTAGCAGAGCGACAATTGGGTAGGGCATGCTAGGCAGCCCCTAAGCACCTACAGGCAGCTGCAAACTTCTACCAGCAGCAGGACAGAACCTGGGAGGGAGGGAGGAAGGGTGTGGGAACCTGTCATAGGTGCCTCACTTAACCCCACAACCACCCTGGATGTGCTCATTCCTGAGCATGGAAATAGATTCCTTTTGAACTTGGCAGCAAAGACAATGAAACACTGCAACGTCAGCTGGCAAGGTGCTTGGCGCTTTCCTGAGCACCGTCTGGGGAACCCTCTGCTTCACCCTCAGAACAGCTACTGGAGGCAGGAAGGACAGATTCTTGGATTCCTCTTTTTACTGATCCTCCCTCCTTTCGAACCTCTACTCTGGGCCAAATGGGTGCCTGGCACTCAAACAGATGTGGCGGGGGGACGTAAAAGCCAGCCTCCTCTTTCAACATGCCAGTTTCCTCTGCTTTGGGGGGTGATTTGTCTGAAAATGAAACAACCAGAGAACCATTCAGTGCAGCGGAACACTTCAAAACTCTTCCCTCCATTCTCTAACTTGGAGGCTTCCACCTAAGCCCCGACCTTCTGACTTTTTATCATGCCAGTGTCCTGGCTCTGCCCCACCCTACTCTGGAGTGAGGGATTCCCCCCAGGATGCAGCAACTCTCCACTGGGTTTAGGGAAGAGACCTTCGGTTCTCTCTTTGGCTTGTTCTATTTACCCTTCTGTCCCGGGTCCTGTGTCCGTGGGTGGGCACCCTCAGCTATCTTTATAGGAAGGTCAGCCCATCTTTAATGAGCTCTAAGAATCATTAGGTACTCCCTGGAGAGCCGTGGCTAGAATCTGGGGGAGCACATTGGGTGAGTTGGATCAACCAATGCACAAGCTAGACATCACCTGGACAATTTGAAACATTTTACGAAATGAACCCCTGATTGGCACCAGCTGGAAAAGCAGCAGACCCAAACCAGGGGAACCTGTAAATCCATTCAGATGCCCTTGGCATGTCGCAACTGACCACATAGTCCGGGCTCTAGCAGGACGCTGGGCATGCATAGGCCCAGTCACCAGCGACATACAGGAAAGCAGACATTTGATTATCTCTTAGGATCCTCAAGTGTCTTGGCTTGCAGGCTGTAAATTTCAAGACTATGGGATGGATTGTTTCGTTTCCTGCAATAGCTGGACTATTACTGTCTTTAGCCAAATGAATTATGGCCCAAATATGTTGGTTATTCATTATCCACTGTCCTCAGTGCCACCACTAAACACTGAAATCAAATACAGCACTGTTACAGGGTGAGGTCCAAATCTCTACACCTCACATTGATTTTGCAAATTGCTTTTTCTCATTCCTTTAACCTCTTGTGAAAAGCTGCAGTTTGTCATCCCTTTATAATAGAAATCAAAGTCTAACTTCCCCCTTCTTAAATTTCTGTTGATAGTGCCGTTACTAATAAATTAAACCCATTACAGAAAAACACATACACGCTGTGCTGTATCGGTTATAGTAACTATGTCACGGGAAAAAATGTGTTTGGCTAAATAAAAAGAATATACGGCTGTTTTGCATAAAATTGAAATGGAAACAATACCACAGGAAATTATCTTATGTCAACCACAAAAACAGGCAAAATCTCTCTCCAGCCAGATTGAAGAGGAAAATTAATTACGACTGTGTTATTGTTCCCAGGGACGTTATGTGTCTCTCTAGGAATCTGGTCCTCTCTAGACCAGAGGGTGGGTACAGCCAATGCAGACATGTAACCTTTAGAAGGAACACGTATCCTGGGCCTCCAGGGACTGGCCAGGCCAATGTCCCATGTAGTTTCCTTTTCTGAGGTTCCTGGCCCAGCCCGTCCCACTTTCTGTCAGGGCATCCCTGGCCCGGCAGCCTCCCCCAGCCCCCTTGGCCCATGTCCCTGCGGGCTCTTCCCAGCTTCTCCCCACGGCGACTCTAGCACTGACGCTGCCCGTGGCAGGAAGCCCAGGAGTTCACTGGTGCAAGGTTTCTGCCATTTGATTACCAGTTTATTGAAGTAACTAACAGGAGGCCAATGAAGGGGAACTACTGAAGACAATCTACCTAAGACTGCAAAAAGCCTTCTAGAAGTTTCATCTAAAATGTATTTAAAAAGTATATTTCTTATCATGAAACGACATGGACAAATCACACACGAAAGAAGAGAGGCAAATGGCAGTAGGCTCCACCGACCTAGAGTGGAGGGAAATGTCAATTAAAACCACAAGGAAATACCACCCCATTCAGACAGGCACAAATGGAAGGGCTGCCTTGGCCTGGAGCAGCTGAGATTCCGCACACAGTGTGAGGGTGGAAGAGCCTGGCCCCTTTGGAGAAGAGTTTGTCACCGAGAGACCTGGCAATTCCACTTCTGGTCTCGTGCCCTAGGAATGATCACCTTATTGTGAGGGTGAATCACTGGGGGTCTCACCCTGGATAGGGCTCATGAATCTGCATTTCTAACAAACCACCAGGAAACACAAATATCGTCTGAGGTCCAACTTTGAGGAGCAAGTCCCTAGCCAAGTTCTTTCACAGGCGCACCAGGGGACAGGCAAAGAATTCAGAGGACAGAGAAATTGCAAACTATCAGAAGAAATAAATGTAAAGGCATTAGATGTTGATGTTGGAACCCACAAACATATTCCTGAGGGTATAAAAGGCCAGGCTCCCTGAATGACCATTTTCCATTTTAAAAACTGGGGGAAACATGGGGAAGGGCCCACAGTGGAGGGAGAGCCTACCCCCTACTGCCTCTAATCCCCTCTAATCCCCCAGGGGCAGGGACCCAGACCTCAAGGCCTCACCCCTGAGGCCCTGAAGTAGTTGGCCTAGGTGCAGCCCAGATATCTGGAATTTTAAAAACTCTGCAGAACATTCTAATGTCCAGCCAGGGCTGAGAACCACAGCTCAAGAGCCCTATTACTCAAAGTGTGTGCCAAGGGCCAGCAGCATCGACCTTATCTAGGAGCTTGTCAGAAGCAGACTCTCAGGCCACCCATCTTACTGAATGAGAATCACATTCTCCCCTCCCCGTGCCCCACCCAGTGTTATTTTTCCCTTCTGGGGAAAAAATCCCATCAGAAACTAGAGCAGTTCACATAAAAGGCTCAGGGTCCGAAAGGCCGCAGGAATCTGTTACAGTGATCTTTACCCTAGAAACAAGTGTCTCCGTGGGCCCAACAGAACCACTGGGTCCAACCTACACAGCCCACACCCCATCACCTCCTGTGTGGATCTCAACGGTGAAGCAAGTTGGGGGCCCTCTGAGTTTGAGTTTTGCTGAACTCCCTGTCTATCTGGAGCCACTTTCCTTTCACTTTTGGGAGACAGAACAGGGGAAGGACACCAGGCTCCCTTTCCTTGTCACCATCCCCTATTCTCAGAGGCAAAGCCGCTGGAGACACAAGCTGTCTCTAGAATGACCTGGCAGCAGGCTGAAGCGTGGGGGCTGAGCTCTCTTCTGAAACACCCAAGGCCACAGCTAACGCAGGCAGATGTCAAAGGACACGCAGGATCCTGTTTCTCTAGGAGAGCAGTTCCTGTGGGAGTCGGCACAGCGCCCCCCACAGAGGCAACTCCACACCCCTGAGTTCAGTGGGCAGGAGCAGGCTGTAGTCTCAGACCAAAGGGAAAATAATTCATTTTGAGATGAATCCTCTGTTTGACCAACCTATGCTAACATTAAATATTTTAAGCATCCTAATGACCATCAAATCACCTGCCACCCCTGGTTTTCACCTTCAACATGCTATGGGCAGTGGCGAACCCCAGGGGAACCAGTCTCCCACTCAGCAAGTGACCCCCGATGCTGGGGGAAGGGCAGAAATACGGCCTCCAGCAAAGCACCTGGGCCAGTACTTGGCAATGGGCCCCACTTGTGCCCACCCTACACAACAGAGACATTTAAGGGCCTTTCAGACCTTCCTGGGGACAGAGTGTGACTCGAGATATCCCGGACAGGTGTGGCTGCAGCTCGCATCCTCCACAACGACCAACACTGACAGTCAACCTTCTGTTTACGAGTGCAGGTGGGCACTCCAGGCAGCCACTGACACCGGAGCTGGTCTCTGAGTCCCTACCTTTCCCCGGGTCATGCAGAACAGAGGGGCAGATCCCTGCAGGGGTGAGTCCCTCGCCCCTCCTTAAATGCACTCACGAGATTTCCGGTTGGCCCGGGATCGCTTCCTCTCCCTCGGCACCGCTCGCTGACTGGGCACTTGGGTGGCCGACTTGACGATGCGGTCCATGATCTCATCGGCTGCATCGTCGGTGACGTTAGGTGAGTCATCGGTTCCCATAGTCCAGGAACCAGTGGATCCTGAAAAATCAAACCGCCAGAGAGTGCAACGTACTCAGAGAGAAGCAAACCCAGAAGAAAACACACAGCACTGTTCCTCCAAGCAGCTGAGTTCTGTCGGCAAAGGATCATCACGGCGATCAGAGTGGAAGCCTTGGAGTTAGTGACAGATCCGGAGCGCTAACCTGTCCCGCTGCAGGGGGCACCACTGTAACCTGCTCTGAACAAACCCATACTCGGGGCACTTATTGTGTACCACCCCATAACACAGCTGTGTTCCTGTCTCTTGTAAGTTAACTCTCTACCCCTGGGTGTGCTGTCTTCACCTCCTCGTCCTGTGCTCACCTGAGGGCAGCTGACCTACGCCACACCCCGCACCCATCACTGAGACCCACCAGAGCACATCCAGCAGTGCAGAGAGACCCACTGAGGGTTCTACTGAGTCAGCTCTCTACTGGGGCACGTATGTGCCTAGTGAATGTCAACTATCCCTAACTTCTCATCGAGTTAAGTAGAAACCAATGGATTTTGTAATATACAGCTTGTCTTTGGATTCCCTAGTCTTTAAAAATGGTAACAGGATTGCCCTCTTGAACCGGCAAAGGGGATATATTTTTTCTTTGGTACATTCATCTGCTCCCTGACCAGAAAAATGTGTTTATAAATAACTACATGTTAAGACAGTCCAGGTCTGGCTTAAAAGTATCTCCCTACAGACAAGCAAGAAGAAAGCGCCACCAAAATGTGGGTTCCAAATAATGTTGAACAGTCAGAGATTAATGCTAATGTATCCAGAACTATGCCTTTGTGGCAGATCAACTTCCTTGTGAAATCTCTTCTGTAGGATGGTGAATGTTTCCACTAAAGGAACAATGTACTGTGTGCTCAAATCTGTTAATTTCTACTACCTACACTTCATCTTGTAATAAATGTACAACAACTTCAAAAGCCTAGAGGTGACACTTCTCAAAATCACTGCCTATGGGACACAGGCACTCCAGCCTGACCAAGGTCCAGCTTACGCTGAGGAATAGCCAGCTTCTCCCAATTCAGAAGAAAAAAATGTTAATAAACATTTTAAATGTTTGAGTTCTTCCCCCATACTAATTTTTTTTTTAAGTTCTGTTGCTTGCAAACCACCTGGTTGGTAATAAATGAACAAAGAAAAAAATATGGATGTCAGTGGTTGGAAACAGTGGATCACAGTTCAGTAGACTGATTTTCATAAACACACATGTGTGTGCTTGAAATGTCACTGCAAATACGTAATATGCTATAATATAGTCATAATTCCTGCTAGTAAAATTCACACAACTGAATACAATACATAAATAATTCACATTTTGCCAAAGGAGTGCTGGGACTCCAGGTGCTCCACCACCCGCATGTATGAGAGACCTGTGGCTATAGGACAATGACGTTTGCAAATGACATGTTTTTTTGTTGTTGATATAGTTTTGAAAAGTTGTCTTGCTTAGTTTTTTTTTTTTTTTAATGGGAGCATACCTATAGCACTGGCGCATGCAAGAATAGTAAATTGTACTTTCTCTGCTTGTACCCAAGGGAACTTGATCTACTTGCTCTCATCAAAAGACCAGTTTTTCAGCATTATAATAAACCCTTACAAAGTAGGGTCTTCTCAGAAAGGAATTTTCAAAATTGCTGCTGAATCTTTCTGCATTCTCAGGATGCTCTAGATGTTCCAACGGGAGGTAAAAGGCCGCACGACACCACAGCTTTCAGCCGGGGACTCCGCAGTGCCCCCGAACAATGGCCCTCCTCGGAGCACAGCAATCAATAGTGCGATTCAATTGTGTTTCACCCAGCAATTTCCTATTTTCCCTTTTACCTACTGATTTATAATTCTGTGTCTCATCATGAAATGTCAAACTAATCTTCCGAAAACATACAAAGCTCGATCAATTGTATTTGCTCCTGATACATTTTCCAAGCAGTGGGCCATAAAGGCAGGCATCATCTAATCTTCCCTCCGAGAATTACCTATGCTTTCCCATCTCACACATTCCTAGGGGTCTGCTGTCCATGTAATGTGGCAGGAGATGCTTAAAGGAACATCTTGCCACAGGTTCAAGACTGTCAAACTCAGTTTGGGGATGACTTCGTTCCCTGACGGCCTCACTCCTCGTTCTACTTTTTATCTCCTCTCCTCTTTGTTACTGTCCTCATTATCTTTTATTTCCATTCTTCCTGGTCATACATGCTCCTCTTTCTGGAGCCCCTGCATCCACACACAGCCATCAGGAGAATGCTGCACACACATCTGACATACTCAAGGGGCCATGCGACTCATCCAAGTCTCCCAAGTGTTTCGAGATATGGTGGAGGGGAAAAAGCATTCTAAGACCATAATTGCACAAAATCACTTTTACTTCATTTCTTAAAATATAGAAATTGTAATTGGAAAAAACAACGCTGTAATTTTTTTTTCCTCTTCTCTTCCTTAACATAAGGAAATAATCTACAAGGAAAATACTTATATCAACATAGATATTCTACTGTTTTAATGCAAAAAAAATCGCCTTCATTTCTGAAAGATAACTTCCCTAGGGATAGACTTCTAGGTTAGAAGCATTTTCCTTTGGCAGTTTAAAGATGTAATTCCATGTTTTTCTGGTTTCCATACTTCCTGTCAAAAAGTGAGTCATCATTCTTACTGTTTTGCCTTAGAAGGTAATGTATCTTTTCTGTCTTGAAGATTTTATCTTGATCTTTGGTTTGCCTATCATATTGTTCTCTATTTATTGTGCTCGGATTTACTAAGTTTCTTCAATACGTGGGTTGACACCTATCATCAGTTTCGGGAAATTCTCAGCCATTCTCTCTTCAAATGTTACTTATTATCCCTCTTTTTATAGTACTCCAATTACACATCTTAGATTATTTGACCGTGTCCAACATCTCTCTCACATTTTGTTCTCACCATGCTTCCGTTTGTACATTTTCTATTAACCCCAATCATTAATCCTCTCTTTTGCTGGGATCAATGGCTGTTAAATCTATCCAATGAGGTCCTTATTTCATAGTTTGTCATTTTAGAATGGCCATTTGATTCTTTTTTATAGATTATGATTCTCTATTGAAATTATTCACCTTTTAATCCATTTGTCTGTTTTCCTTTAGTTTTTATTTTTAACATTTGTAATGATCACTTCAAGTCCTTGACTGTACATTTCAACATCTAGATCCCTTATGAGTCTGCCGCTCTTCCTCTACTTTTCCTCTTAATTGTGAGTCATATTTTCATGTTCTTCCCTTGGCTCGTAATTTTTACCATGCACTAGACTTTGTGTGTAAAAGAAAGTAAAGACTGAAGTCGCTGTCATTCTGCTCCAGAGAGCCTCCCTCTCCTCTGTGCCTGGCTGTGGTGAGGGACTCAGCCGGGGAGAGGCCAGATGGCAGTTTCAGTTAAGGATCAGCCCACCTCTTTCTAAATGTCCTGAGGCTAACGTCTGAGAGTATTTGTCGAAGGTGCTTACTCTAGCTTGTCTTTGTTCCTCAACTTTGTTCAAGACTGTGGGTTTCCTTCAGCCTTTCTGGGCCAGTAGCACCATCTGACGGCACCCCCTTACCCCCAGCCCCTATGCTGCACTTAGCAAAAGTCTCACGGAGAAAATCATCTTCATCTGGGGTTGCTCCCAACTCAGTCTCTTATCTCACATGGCTACTGCAAGTTCTGCTGGCTTCTCTACAGCCACTAGAGTCACCCCACCGGGGCAAGCCCGGTCCCCAGCCTGTGCCCACGTGGCAAGTGCTCCTAGAGAGGCTCAGCTCCCCTAGAACTCTAGCCTGTGTAATACTGTCTCCTTTCACAGTGCTCTGATGTCTTTTAAAAGAAGGCTTTACCATTTCTTTCTTTGATTCCTAGTTAGAGCAGGAGTGGTGGCCTGCCACTTCCTACCACATGCCACGTGAGAGCAGAAGTCTCTCCTTTCAGATGGGTGTGAAGCTACAGAGAAACCGAACACCTCCCTTTTTAATCCCATTCATCGGCCAGTGAAAATGACTCTGTACTGTACAAACCCAGTGACATTCTTTTCTCTTTGTCCTTTCTGCTCAGAAACAGATGTCTATTTTCTTTTAAAATTGGCACAACCTGTTTATGTTCTGTTACTGGAACATCTCCCAGGGCCATCAGGCCAGAGTCTGCAGCCCCTGTACCTCAGTGGATGCACATGAGTGTCCTATGAACCAAAGAGCCACAAACTGCCACGCAAGGAGGATCTCAAAAGGGCCTGCGAGCCGTGTTCCAGAACCGTAAGGTTTCTGTGGGATTCCCGAGTGGAGTGGCACTTGGGTGTTTTTTATAGAATTACTGACTGGTTTTCTTACTTCCTGTGAGTGCGGCATCACTGATTCTAGCTCCCTTCTCTTATTAGTGTTGGACTTTGGTGTTTACCCTTAAATAGGGCTTTTACTTTGATATGCAGCTGAGAATATGCTAGTCATATGCTTCTGTCTGCACGTTCACTAGAGCCTAGGAAGATGCCTGGTGGGTGGCTGCATCCATCCATGCATTCATTTGTTCCCGAGTTTCTGCGATGTGTAAGGTAACCCACAAACCAGCTTACCTGACATGCTCCGTTTTACTTATTGTTCCAGCATAATTACCACGAACACCCCTTTCACACTCCAAAGCATCTCAATCTGGACAAAATTACATGCTCTCTTCTAGCTGTATGCATAGTGTATGCTAAAGCAAACACTGAGAGGAGAAAGCCGATTTCCAGTAGCTGATTCTCTTTAAAGTTTATCATCCTTAAAGGGTCTAATCTGGGGTCTCTCAGGTGCACTGAAGAGAAAGACCATCTGGAAGCCAGAGAGTGGCTGGAGGAGGTGGTTTCTGGAGATGAGTGGGGACTGGATGGGCAGAGAGGGCATCCTGCGCTGAGGGGCAGCGTGAGCAACAGGGGGATCAAGGGCCTGTAGAGTGTTCCAGAAGGGTGGTAGCAACAATGTGGGGACAAGACAAAGCCAAGTTTGGGAGATAGGCTAGAACCAGATGACAGGGACCTCAAATAACAGCATGAATAGTGCGGGCTTTATCCTGCCAGCAGTGAGGAAACTCAGGAGGCGTCACATGGAATTATCAACCCAGACCAGGGAAATGCAGGCAGACATTCTCCAATGTAAAATGCCTCCTAATCCCTTCTAATTATAAAACAACTCTGGAAACTCTAATCTGTCTTCACCATTTTGAAGTTTTAGGATTACCTGTGCCTGTAAGGATTTTAAAAAGGCACAAAGGGATAGTGCTTTAATCCAGGGGTTGGGGCTGGTGAGCTTTGTCTGTATAGTAAATGTTTTAGGCTCTGCAGGTCCTGCCACCTGTCACATCGGCTCAACTCTGCTGCTGTGCAAAGCAGCCATGGCCGAAGCACAAATGAACATGCGTGGCTGTGTTCCAGTAAAACTCTATTTACAAAAACAGGTGGCAGTCTACATTTGGCTTGCAGGCTGCAGTCTCCCGACCCCTGCTTTAACCCAGGAGGATCCGACCACAGTAAGAATTCTTTCTGTGCAAAGTAAGGTATGCTTTAGGGACGCAGCTACTGCAGGTGGGTCAGAGAGGCTTTAGCAAAGGAAGGTGAGCAGTTATGTTGGCACTGAAAATCCTGCCAATGCCCGTAGCAGCTGTACCCTGTACCCTGCCTCAGGGACTGGACTACCCCAGGGTGGCCAAGCCGAGAAGGGAAGACGAGATGAGCCCGCGCGGCCAGGAGTTACCTCTGCTTGCTCTGCTGCGAGTGCGGATGCCCAGCACGGGGGTGGCGTCCTCCACGGCAGGGGAAGAGGTTTTCAGCACAGCCTTCATGTTCTCATGCTCGGCCGCGTCCTCGGCATAGCTCAGACCCTGCGGCTGGCTCGGTGGCGCCGGAGAGCTGCCAGAGAACTTGCCAGACTGCAAAACCAAAGGGGAGTTAGGATGTGAGGGAGACTCCCCATGAAGCTTATACAACTTTCAGTTAAGGAAAACCTCCCTCTGTCTTTTCTGTGTGCATTCTGCATACATGAGTTACAGAAGTTACTGAGCTTGTCGATTAATGATAAAACATCTGTGTCTACAAGAAGATCTATCATCAGAAAGAAAAGCCACCGGCACCAGAAGGAACACCACCCAGCCATCGTTGTAGCGGGTCTCTCGGATTCCCTCAGTGGGTGTGTGCCAGAGCCAACTGATAGTGACTCTGGGAAGAGCTAAAAAATCAAGTTTGTCTTTAACACAAAAGCCCCGATATGAGAATTAAAATACACCTTGTTAATCATATGTGTTAAGCTTTATTTTGTTACTTAGTGCCAGAAAGCAGATACGTTTTTCTTAAAGATCACTTATGACGAGAGAATTACAAACGTGAGATTCAGTCACAGAATCACACCATGTTAAGAGTTGGGAAGGATTCTTTCAGATCTAGTCCCACCGCACTTTAAAGAAAAAGAAACTGAGTCCCTTCAAGAATAAGTGGCTTGCCATGGGCTGCAAGAGGGTTAGTGTCAGGGCCCAGAACAGAACACAAAAATTCATGCTGAAACTGAATTCGTCAACACGACTTTCGGTTATGTCAAAATGTAGTTGTTTTAATAAGCATTACAAACACATGATGATTTTCTCTAATTCTAACTGAACAGAAAGTCGAGGCATGTATGTTTTAAAAGAGGTATGCTAGAACACTGTGCGTAGACCATGCCAAACATCTGGATGAAGAACAAAGTCAGAGCAACATTTGCAAAGAACAGTCCATGGATTCCTGGCTTCTTTTCATCCAGTGTCTCAGCAACAGGGTTGGGGTCTTGCACCATCTACACTGCTCCCTCCTCATTTTCCAGGGCCAGTCAGCGCCAGCTTGGTTTCTGGCTCTTGCTCCTGCACCCAGGGTCGGGGAGGAGCCCCTGCCATCCCAGCACTGCACACACTGACCCACGGGTGCCATGGACGCCAATCAAGGAAATGGGCACACCGCAGAGGCTACCCACGGGCTGGTGGTAGAGGCTCTGGCCTGGCTCCTGGCTACGGCCCCACTTCCTCTTTGGTTTGAGGCCTCTTAATATGGTTATTCTAGAATCCAGTTCTCATACTTGAGTTGCCAAAAGGCTCGGACAGGGGAATGAAAGGAAAAGCCCTTGTCCACTTTTCCAGTAGCAGCAGGGAGAGACCTGCTGAACCTGTCACTCACGACAGGGCTACTGGCCGGCCTGGGCTCAGGGACAGCTTGGAAAGTGCAGGTGACCCTCCAGTCCCTGGCACATATGGCATGACGGGAGCCGGCCAGGTGGTTAGTGATCACACAAAAACCAACCAGAAGATGTCCATGCATGGTTTAAAGCACTGAGTGGTGCTGATGCTTCATGCTGGTTATGTTAGGTTAGACTACAGCACACATGGGAAGGTCATGTGGCGTTCTTCGTGTTTATAAACAGTCATACCTCAACTTCATCCTCGTCATCAGTCTACCCGACAGGACAGGACAGAATGGAAAAGACAGAAGGGATTCTTAGAAAGCACAGAAATCAACAAAGATGAGATCATCTCAATGTCACATCAAATTCCAAATAAAGAAATTGGCCACCACGACTTAGGTACACCCTCTTGAGATACGAGCTGCTGGGCCCAGCCCTGCTGTCCTTGTCTGGACACTCCATCAGTGAACGCCAACACCAGCCCTGACTGGAGTCAGGAAGGACTTGCAGGGCTCCAGCCAACCTCCTGGGGCTGCCCGAGGTCAGCAATCAGCTTACCTGGTTCCCTGACCACTACCGACCTCACTCCCAGCTCTGTGGCCTGCTACTTGGGTGGCTGTGTCCTGGTGAGCCCACCACCGGCTGCCGGCCACGAGAGCCTCAGTGAGGGGACTGGCCTCTGTTTGCGTGGCTCTGCCTGTCAGCTGCCATCCTCCCCTCATCACAAACGCTGGACCCCTCCCTGCCCAGGCTGCCGGGTCTGGGCTGCCGATAATACTTCCACGCACAGCCCAGACGGGACAAGTGGGACGACTGCCCAAGCAGGATGTTCCATGTCACTCTCTTCAGAAACATGACATTAAGTTCCATCTAAAATCTCACCTGTCCCCTCATGGTGGCCACCTGAACCTTCTGTACTTCTAATTACTTTATCACTGGATCAACTTCTTTAAGTGACTTTACATAAAATACCCCTTTCTTCAATCTCTTGATTTTAAATTCAGCACACCTTCCATTTAAGTGTTTCCACTGAGGTTACAGGCAGGCCAGAAAATCTGACATGAGTTTTCTGAGAACTGACTACGCTTTTGAAAGTTAAAATGACAAAATGCTTCTAGTTCATCACATTCCACACTGCCTCACCCAAATGGCATTGTGACAAGAGACAACACTCCTGTTCCACTACTGTATATATATATTTTGTCTTATAGCTTATTTAACCAGGATGACTGGAATTTTTTCCAACAATTAACACACGCGCAAGGTGTTGCATATATAAAATCTCTAGCCCTCTGGACATCTCTAAAAGTAACCATCATTCCCTCTGTATAGAAGAGGAAGCTGGGGTTGAGGGGGGTTAAGGGTATCACCCAGGGTTACAGCTGTCCTCTGACGTGGGAGCCCTGGGGTTACCAGGCCGAGTTGTCAAAGCCCTTATCTGGAGGAAGACCACAGCAGAAGGGCCACAGTTGCCTTGTGTTGCCTTGTCTATGTCACCATTTGATCTAGAACCACTTTTGGACACGAGGATAAGGAATTAGTTTCTCACTGGCCATTACCTGGGAGGACCGTAGATTGTGAGAAAGGAAGCCTTCTGCGTACCCAGAAACGGGGAGGAGAAGAGGGAGCGGTACTTAGGAGCTGACATCGGGCTGACTGCATAAACACAGGGTCTTCAGATTTCACCCCCGGACTTCTCATCTCTGTTTAGTTGCGACCACTGGCATCCCCATTCTATTCAGCATCTATATTAAAAATGACTTCATACAATTCCCTCCAAAATCTCTTCTAGCTCAAATATTCAGGGGCTCCCTGATTCTAAATCTATTGGCTGGTTTTGTTTTCAGCGGTTTAATTGGTGTATACGTCATTTTCTAACCAGACTGTGTGACGTCCTTGGGGTAAAAGCTTGTCTTATATTATATTCACATCTTCCTTGGTGCCCAGTGCAGTGCTGGGCACACAAAGAGCTTAATAATTGAGAGTTAGGAAAACTCGAGGCTGTCCACTTTGCCTTAAGTGACGATATCCTAATCCTCCAGCAGGGGGCAATCTGCCTGCACGAATGATGACACTTTGGCCACTAAAAACATGGGCTAGGCTGACAGTGAACCCTGAGCTGAAGAAGCCTGTACTGTCCAGATTTTAATGAGAATTTCAGTATTTTTCTTATCAAACTCTAGAAACACCTGTTTAGAATTGGGAAAACCAAATGTTTTCAGATAAGGACATAAGTTAAAAATTAGTGGGATCTATTATAAGAAAACCTCAAGAATTTAGCAAGAAATTCTGATGCGTTTTCATAACTATAAGCATATTGGGCTTGTATTTTTCACCCTCCAATGTTGTCTCATTTCCATAAGAATAAGTGATCCCTTTTTGAAAACTTTTAAAATAATACTTAGGAATGAAAAGTGGGCCATAGTTTGCCTAAGTGGATTTAATCTACTTCCTGAGCTGCTGTCCCCCTGGAGGCAAAAGATCCTACCGGGCTGATGGCGCTGGTGTTCAGAGCTGCCGGGAGGCTGTAGAAAGAGCTCCTTCTGCAGAAAAGTGACCTGAGCACTCCCTAAAGGTCCATAAAATTCCAAGGAAACAAGGGGCTTAGGTGGAGGTGGATGGTAAGGGGCCTAATTAGTTCATGGTTCTCAGAATTGCCTTCAAATGACAACCCAGTTTCTAAGTGAATACACCTGGGTTTCCATGTGAAGGCGAGACCCTTCAGGAACATGGACTCTCAGACAGCAGTAACCATGTGCTCTTTGTTTTGCCTGCAACATGAACACCCCAGCTAGGCACAGAAGGCAGCCTCAGTGAGGTCTTCTTTTTTTTTTTTTTGAGACAGAGTCTCACTGTGTTGCCCGGGCTAGAGTGCCGTGGCGTCAACCTAGCTCACAGCAACCTCAGACTCCTGGGCTCAAGCGATCCTTCTGCCTCAGCCTCCTGAGTAGCTGGGACTACAGGCATGTGCCACAATGCCCGGCTAATTTTTTTTCTATATATTTTTAGTTGTCCAATTAAGTTCTTTCTAATTTTTAGTAGAGACGGGGTCTCGCTCTTGCTCAGGCTGGTTTCGAACTCCTGAGCTCAAACAATCCGCCCGCCTCGGCCTCCCAGAGAGCTAGGATTACAGGCGTGAGTGAAGTCTTCTTAATTCATTTTCTTCCTCGCTAAAGAAATCTGCCTGACCTGAGTTCAGCCGAGGCTTGCAACCCCTTGGGTGATGGCACCCTCTATGGCTTAATCTTTTCCTCATTCCATCCCTGTACCACTGGGAGCCACATACTCCTCAAATACATACGCAGATGGCAAAAGTTCATGGGTGCCAAGCCATGAAAAAAAATCACACTGAAGAGTCCTTCAACAGGATCCAAATATGACCTGTCAGTCTCAAAAAAGATGACTTCATTCTCCCTGAGTATGTTCAAGTAAGAATAAATAATGAGTAAAGGAGAATTCCCAGAAAATTTCTCCCTTTTGCCTGGAACTGACCTTACAGTCCACTAGTGATGGATGAGGTGTGTGAAACACCAACCTGGATTTCACGTTTCATAAAGGCACCTGCACTGCGTATCTTTGCTGGTCTCTGGCATCGATCTTCACGCTTCCCTTCGCCCTCTACTTACTGAGCATCTTGCCTCTGACTACCCACTGCACCCGCAGCCTGGGTGGGCTGGGGGCTGAGGTGGGAGACAGCGGGGAAGAGCTCAGGAACAGGAAAGACATTTAAGTACACAGGGACACCCCCACGTGCTGTAGGCAAACTCCTGCTGGATTCACTGTCCCCTGGGATCTCTTTTCCCCTGATATTCTGTGATTCAAGGGACTGCCAAGAGCCTATCAGATTATGTCTCTGCAATCACATCAACTTCCCTATTCAGATGCCCCAAATTGGTGGTCCATGTGTCAGCTGATTGGTTATATAGTGTTATTTTGATGACTAAAATCCTGAATCAATTCCCAAATCAGTACATTTGTCTTCCTATGATAAGTAGCATCATCATTTTTATATTTTTCTTCTCTTCTTCCAATTTTATCCATATCAGAAGACATGGAAATCCAGCATTTAATGACATACAAGATAGCAAAATGAGTTGAGTGCTCCTCCTTCAGCCATATGACTTTACATATCCTAGCCCTTGATTGTTATATAGAACAGTGGTCCCCAACTTCTTTGGCACCAGGGACTGGTTTTATGGAAGATAATTTTTCCACGGACCAGGGGGGTGGGGTAAGAGGATGGTTTCAGGATCATTCAAGTGCATTCCATTTATTTGGTGTAGTCAAATCTCTCTGCTAATGACAATCTGTACTTGCAGCTGCTCCCCAGCACTAGCATCACTGCCTCAGCTCCACCAGATCATCAGGCATTAGATTCTCATATGGAGCACGCAACCTAGATCCCTCCCATGTGCAGTTTACAATAGGGCTCCCAATCCTATGAGAATCTAATGCCGCCGCTGATCTGACAGGAGGCGGAGCTCAGGTGGTGAAGTGAGCAATGGGGAGCGGCTGTAAATACAGATGAAGCTTCACTTGCTTGCCCATCGCTCACCTCCTGCTCTGCGACCTGGTTCCTAACAAGCCATGGACTGGTCCACAGCCTGGGGGTTGGGCACCACAGATATAGAAGGTTTTCACAAAAATGATAGAGGAGCAGATTCAGAGCACTTTTTAAAGCAGGGATTTCACAGTTAAAAAAAAAAAATGGCACAGCTCCCAAACTGTTGGGAGGATTTATGATTGATCTTACTTTGAAAATAAATGACACAAAGAGACTGATTTTGTGAAACTCACATCAGTGATCATCTTCCCTCTGGTCTTATTTCTCTCTCTGTGGTTGGCCCGTTTCTGTTTCTGCTGCAAAACCCTTTCCCTGGTGGTGCGATACTCTAGTGCAAATTCACTAATGATCCTGCAGAACTTGTTTATGTTCACTTCCCGAATCGCGTAAGGCGGATGGCCCATGAAGAGCAAAAAGGAGTGGAATCTGCAAGGAAAAAACAGGTATGGCAACAACTTCAAGTTTTAAGGAACAAAAATTATCTAAAATCTCTCAGTAAGAAACCAATGAGCAAAGCAGAAATTACTTTTTCTTTTGGATTATCTGTGCTTTAACATTTTTCTAAAATGGATATGTAAAACCTCTGTAAGAAAAATGATAAAGTACTATCTTAAAGAAAATATTCTAAGTTTCTAAATTATATAAGAATTGAATAGGAATAAGGAAATGTTGCTTAGAAATTCCCTTAATGAATACTTGGAATAGACATGAACATATGAATAACATATTAATCAATGGTTTGTACATAGATGCTTATAAAGAGTAAATATTTTGAAGCATTTTCTTGCAATATTACATAAATCTTAATTTAATTAGGAAACACCAAATTGGCAGAATAAAATTTATTTAAGCTATTTAATTTATAAATAAAAATCACCAGATATTATTTTAAAATTTTGTAAAAGAAATTAAAAGAGCAAACAATTACCCAAGTTTTAGTTATCAGGAAATGAGGAAGAAGATAGCAGGAGACAGATGGAAATCTTCATGTGGAACAAACAGTATTATACAAATGATCCACTATTTGTAGACAAAACTTTTAGTTTTAATCACTCTGATTTGTACAGTTTGGGTGTTTTGTGTGTGTGTGTGTTTTAAATGAGGGACATTGGTTTATTCTTTTTGTAAAGAGTGAAAAAGTAAAGCATACGGCTTGTCTTTAAAGTAAAGGGGGCTGATATGCAGAAGAATGAAACTGGACCCCTATCTCTTGCCATACACAAAAATAAACTCAAGATGAAATAAAGACTTGATTGTAAGACCTCACACCTTAAAAATACTAGAAGAAAACCTAGGGAAAACTCTTCTGGACATTGGTCGAGGCAAAGAATTCATGACTAAGACCTCAGAATCAAAATAGACAAATGGGACTTAATTAAACTATAAAGCTTCTGCACAGTGAAAGAAATAATCAACAGAGTGAACAGACAACCTGAATGGGAGAAAATATTTATAAACTATACATTCAACAGAGAACTAATATCCAGAATTCACAAGGAACTCAAATAACTCAATAACAAAAAACAAATAACCCCATTAAAAAATGGGCTAAGAACGTGAATAGACATTTTTGAAAAGAAGACATACAAATGGCCAATGAGCATATGAAAAAATGTTCAACATTGCCAATTATCAGAGAAATGCAAATTACAACCGCAGTGAGATATCATCTTACACCAATCAGAATGGCTATTATAATATTAAAAAGACAAAAAATAACAGATGTTGACAAGGATGTGGAGAAAAGGGAACTCCTATACACTGTTAATGGGAATGTAAACTAGTGCAGTCTCTATGGAAAACAGTATGGAGATTTCTCAAAGAACTAAAAAATAGAACTACCACACGATCTAGCAATCCTACTACTGGGTATCTACCCAAAGGAAAAGAAACCAATATATAAAAAAGATACCTGCACTCGTGTCCTTATTGCAGCATTATTTACAATAGCAAAGATATGGAATCAACCTATGTGTCCATCGATAGAGGATTAGATAAAGAAAATGTGGTATATAAACACAATCAAATACTATTCAGCCATGAAAAAGAATGAAATCATGTCTTCTGCAGCAACATGGATGGAATTGGAGGTCATTATCTTAAGAGAAATAACTCAGAAACAGAAAGTCAAGTACCATATACTCTCACTTATAATTGGTAACTAAGTAATTATGCACATGGAAGCAGAGTGTGGAATGATGGACAATGGAGACTCAGAGGGGGTGGACGATGGGAGGTTGCTCAGTGGGTACAATGTTCATTGCTCCACTGATGGATACACTGAAGTCCCTGACTTCACCATGATGGAAAATATCAGTATAGCAAAATTGCTCTTGTACCCCGTGAATAAAAAATTAATAGGTTCTCCAAGGGTAACTGTGAATCAGGTAAAGGAGGAACTTTTCTAAAATGCAGAGCTGCCCTGCAAGGGAGTGTGCTCTCTGTAGGTGAAATTGTTCAAGCAGATGCAGAGAAGCAGGGTTTGATTCATCAGAATCTTGGAGATGTAATTCCTCACCAAGTAGGATTTTTGGATGAAATTATCTCTGAGATTCCTTCCAACTTCAAGATTCAATGACATTATACTAGTATGTGTATCAGAAAAATTAAGTGTCCATGGAACTGTCAAACATCTGTATGATTGGTGCACTTCCTATGCACCAAAAATGGAAAGGAAAATTCTGTAAATTTAATCTTCAGATCTTGGTTTGCAAAATATTTTCAACATGCCATCTTGCTGATGTTTTTATAAGTTCTGCAATCCACTTACCTGTTAATTATTCTTCTATGGACAATCTTTAAAATTATAATTCGCTCTGCACAGTCTTTTAGGAACTCTGACATCCGTTGTTTTAAAACTGGTTTCATTTCATGTTTTGCAATTGCCTTGAGGTGATCCCACGAAGCTTTGCATCTTCTCTCCATCTGACATAAATTATCCTGAAGTTGATCAAAGTCAACCTGAAAATCAGAGAGAGAACACCGCAAATGCACTGAAACAGCCGGACACCAGCCTGAACTGGGAGACCAAACTGCCTCCAGGAAGAAACAAACATCAAAACCAAATTCACATCTTCAAATACAAACATATTTACAGCCTAAGAATTATTCACATGTGGATTTGTCATTATCTCGACATCAAACTATTTAGTGATAAAACTGTTCTCCAAATGAACCCAATACATGTATCACCTTTTTTTTTTTTTTTTGCCATATTTGGAAATAAATCTTAGGAAAGTCTTTGGGAACTATAAATGAAAACATGATCTCAAGGAACCCTAGTACAAGATGAACTGAGTAGATGTCTCAAAATTTTTCACAGCACTCTTGTTCTTCAGAGATGATATTTCACTTAAGGTTGGGGAATGTACCCTAGTCACACATGGATGGCTCTGCCAGGCTGGGGGATCAGCTAATGGACAGCCAGCTTCTCTTCATGATGATCCCTTTGACACTTTGTGTGACTAATTATTTTATTCATCCACTCACTCACTCATTCAACCAGCATTCATGGAGAAACCAGTAGACACCAGTCCCTAAGCCAGGCACAGAGAACATAAACATAAATGCTGAATGAGACCAAATTCTTATTCTCAAAGAGGCTCACTGGACAGACAGGTGACCATCAAGGCCTGAAGGATGCACAGCACCCCCAGGCCTGTGCACGTTTGTGTGTGGGCGTGAGGTCTCGCCAGCAGAGGCAAGTCACACGTGCAAGGAACAGATGTGACAGAGCACTCCTCGTGTGCCCAGGGAACTGCAAACAGTCTGGATTGACTGACATGATCTGAGACAAGGCTTTCTAAGGAAGTACTTTTATAGAACTTCTAGACTAAAAATGACATGAATCAGAAAGTTATCTAGTCACGAAAAAATACACAGGAGGGCCACAGTTAATAGAGGGAGATGTGGGATGGGGAAAAAAACTGAGAGGGAGAGGAGGGGAGGAAGACATAGACAAACATGTGGGTGAGCTGGAGGTGGGGACAGGCAAGGAGCTTGAGCAACAGGGAAAGGGCGAGGGCCAGGCAGGCAGAAGCCAGAGAGCAGGGGACGCCTGGAGAGGAGCTGCCCCGGCTTCAGTGCCAGTGACCATGGTCCTGTGAGCAGGGAATTACTGGAGTAACCTCCGCCCCCCCAACCACCCCCATGAAGGACAACGGAGGGGATCAAGTCCACAGTGGGTTCTGTGAGAGGATCTGCGTCACCAACAGGAGACAGACACCGAGCGCAGGGGGTGTCTGGAAGACACCATGTGTCCTGGATGTCCTGGTGCTATTAGAGCCAAGAAGGCAAGTTTAGGCAGAAGCCTGGGACTCAGGTAAGCAGGAGGTTCATAGGCCTTTGAGGAAAACAATTTGCCTGAAACCAAAGGAATTCTGGGTCTGGATAGAAAAGGCTTCACTTTCTTATGACGCAATGGAGCTGAGAAAAAAAATCTGTCAGGCCAGCGCAGGGGCCCCAGCTCAGTGCATGCGGCACCAGCCTGGCAGTGGCTCCTGCGGTAGGTGGCGGAGGCTCCTGGCTACCACTGCTCCACCAGCCAGGGCTGCAGGAGAAGGCAGAGAGAGGCAGAGCCCCTTGAGGGAGGCCTGAGCAGCCCCCTCCCCTGCCTTCCCACCTCTGCCCAGCACTCTCCTCCCACACTGGATCCCAATGCTCCCCAGCTGGGCGTGTGTTTCCAGGAGGTTCCTCCACGCTGGCCTGGCTCCAGTGCCCTATTCAAGGGCGCCCCTCCTCACGCCCGTGAGTCTCCTGTGCTCCAAGACCTTCTCTTCTCCCGGTTCAGGTGTGTTTGGGAGTTGTTCCGCCTCAGCGATCGTCCTGCCTTGGAGGCAGATGGGGGTCCACAGACTGCGACTGTCTCTTTTCTAATAAACCATGAACTCATGAAGATGTTAACTCTGCGCTCACTTTAAGAGCTTGCAGCTGAGGCGCCAAGGCTACATTACTGTTTACAGTGCTATAAAAATGCTCCCTCTGGGGAACATCACATGGACGGCCTATCTGTGGGCACAGGGGCCAGGCGAGCCCTGCTTCCCGGCTCCACGCCTCACCGCAAAGTCCTGTGGCCATCTCAGGGGGAGCCACACTGCATCTTTTTGACATATTTGTCCACCTAAGACAACATGTGCGATTTTAACGTTCTCAAAAATCCAGCTTGGGAGCAACACTGCTCAACAGTGGACTAGGAGTCAGGAATAGGGTGGCAGGCTTGCCTTGCATACCTCGGCAGCAAAGAGTCCAGCCGAGAACCAGAGACAGGAAAAAGATCTTAAAAGTTCCATGGAAATGGCATGAAACAATCATATTCACCAACTCTAGAGCAGGGAATGCAGGCAGCATTTGAACACAGCATGTGTTCCTCAGGGATGACTGATAAAGAACCAACATCGGAGGCCAAGGAAGGCCAGTCCTCGACATCCACGGACGTACCTTGGCCGACCTGGTGATGGCCCCGATCTCCGAGTACAGATCGGAGCTGTCTGGGAAGTTTTCCACCACCATGGTGCACACGTGGTGGAGAAGCGACTGCTTGTGTACTGTGTCTTTGACTTCTGGAACCTTCTCGAGGTAGCTTAACTCAAACGCTTTGGCCTGCTTGGCAAACATCAAAGACAAGACAGGAAGAACAAGTTTTACGTAGGCTCCTAGAATAGCACAGATGGTTAGGATCAATGCTCGGCTGCAGTAGCCCAATATTTGGTTTCTCTGCAGCTGAAGCTTCTCGGGCCACATGTTCCATCGTCGTTGGATGATCACATGTGGGCCAGCCACACGGAGAAGGGGGTGACCCTCCAGCCTTTTCCCTCCACAGCCACGAGCCACGTCCCAGGGCTCACCCCAAAATCAGGGTGCTGTAGGACTGCACCTCTGACTTCGCATTTCTACAGCTTCTTTCTCCCAGTGCCCTGCTGCTTGTATCCTTTCTTGCCAAAGCTGAGCCAATAAAAAGTATCAAAATGTGTATAAGCACAGATATTTGCATGATAAGCTCAGGAACAACAACAAAGAAAAGAGTTGAAGAAAATTCTTCAATGTCAATTTTGAGAGTAGCCACATTTCGCAAGGAACAGTGTGCTTATTTTTCTAAGTTTTCTTATTTAAAGCAAGATACAGGTACAAATAAATAGGCTCTGATCAGGACTGATTATCCAGCTATAAAAAATAGGCTCTGATATTTTAAGAACAAAATTTCCTCTAGATTTTCTGCAAGAAGATATAAAAGTTATTCTGTGTCTGGGGGGACTTGGGGTACAGCCTCCCTTGGCCAATGCCTACAAGGATTTCGTGACGAGGCAGGCAGGAGGATGAAGGATGGGGAAGACTTACATTCGTTCCATTTAGAAAGTTCCCAATGGCTAAGAGGGTGGACAGGATAAAGCCCAAGGTTTTATTGTTCTCCAATTGGTCTATTCCTTCCTTCAGGTCCAAAAGTGGTTCTGCCACTTCCTTTCAGTTAAAAGAAAACAGAAGATGATAAAGAACCTATCATCTGGCTTTACTTTGTTTTTACTCTTTCTATAACAGATAACAAGGGGGGTTCTCCCCAGCACAAGGTGGTCTCACATGAGGGGCACGGGCTCATAGGTATGGAAAAGTACGACAGGAGAGTCTCTACTCCCCGAAGTCTTCTCAGTGGAGATCAAACGGTGGCACTTGTGCTGGGGTGACAAATGATCTGTCCTCCCCTGTTCCTGCCATCATCTAAGCCCAAGCAGGACCCTCAGGGCACACCACCCCCACGCTCCCTCCTGACCAGAGCTGATGTCTATGGCACAGTTCCTTCAGCATCTAGACCACAGTCTTCTCTCTGCCTTTCCTCCTCCCAGGCAGATGACACTGGAAACTGTAGCCTCACTGTTCCTGGACCATCCCAGGCCTCCTAACTTCCCCTTAAGGTACTCTGTGGCCAACCACCACTTAGCCTGGGTTACTCACTGGAAGGCCACCGTCCGCAGTACTCCAGCTGCCTTGTTACCCCACCCCCTCCAACCTCCAGCCTGCCCTGCATCATGCCTCCATCTCCCCTCCCCCATCTACTGCCATTCTGTGGCCCCCACTCACACATCCATCTTCATCGAGGCTCTCCCCTAACCAATACCCCAAAGCCAGGAGATCAGCTCAGTTGTTACTGCTAGGCTGGTCTGCCAATCCCCACCCAAGGCTGACCCAATCATCTGTTTCAACATGACGTTACCTGACTTGGCTACAGAAAGTCACCTGAGTGTGCTCATGGGACTAGTGACCAAGTCACGGCAGTCACCGCAGCAGTCCTGGGTATCTTCATCCCTGCTTGACCCCCTCACGAATTCAAGTATGGTAGCTCCCTCCTGAAGCACCTCCAAACCCACTGCCACCTATCTAGACCTCAGTAGAGGACCTTCCTCCCTCCTTTGCCAGAAAACGGAGACCACACAGCCTCTCTGAGAAACTGGCCTTTAGAATCTGTCTCCTCTCCACTAAGGTCCCCTGCAGTTCACCTTCCACCTCTCCCTTTTCCTCACCTCTTCTCTCTGTTCAGCCTGCAAAGATACCACCACTGCCTCTGTCCAGAGAGAGGCATGTGTCCTCCACATCCTGCTCAAGAGGAATGTCCCCAAGCCTTCCCCGTCAAGGTCCCTTTCCTTCTATTCTCTCAACTGTTGGAATCTGCTTCAACTTCCTACTGAGGACACTCTCTCAAAGGGCCCCAAAGACCTGTAACTGCCATAGTCAATGGCAGTCGAGGTGATTATCATCAGGCAGAAGGATCACAGGAAATTTTCTATATAGCACTTGTCTGTATTTTCCAAATTTCCTACAGAGAGAATATAGGGTTTGAAGAAAGAGTAATTTCTTTTTTTAACTCAGTCTGGTGCCCGAAATGCAGTATCTGAGGCTGGTGCCAACAGACACCATCAATTCACTCTCCACATCCTATGTCAAGAGTGGTATTTCACTACCATAACATCTGCCAATAAAAACTGCCTTTCTCAACCCTGGGTATGTTGGGGGGCTGCCTCTCTCACCAGGCACTTACCTTCTCTGTGGTTTCATAATCCATCTTGAACGCCCAGAGGTGGAGCCGAGCAGAGAGCTCGCTGATGGAGGACAGCGTGAGGAGGAACTGCTCTGCGCTGCCCAGGGGCACTTCCGGGTTGGCCAGCTGTGCTTCCTGGATTTTCTGCTTCTCCTCTTCCGTGGGAATCATGGTTAGAATTTTCTGGAAAGATGGGATGATATAGTATATTCTCTCTTAGCAATGGATCCTCCCCCACCTCTTCAATGTTTTCACATTCATATGATAACTTTCCAGTTAGGTAGTAGAGATATTCTGTTGTTAGTTTTGTTTTATCATATACAGGTGGTAAATTATAAACCAAATATACTTTAAGCAGTTTGCCTGAAATTTTCTGGGTCTTTCACATGAAGGACATTCTAGGCAAGAAGGGGATGGGAGGTAAGAGAAAGGTGAAAGATAGAAGATTAGAGAACATCTCCCTGTTCCCTAGGAAAAAGAGCAAAACTGGTCAAGAATATATGCTTTGGAGCCCTTCTCCTGGATCAATTTAAGAGCTTACAAAAATGAATCATTTTCAAAGAACACGGATTGACTTTTGTTCATGTGACGTAATATAATTTTAATTGTATTAACTTTAAAACTCACATAGAAATGATAACACTTTAAGTAATATTCAACTCAAGTCTGACTATGGAAAAAATGACAGTATGTACAAAGGGCAATACCCACCTGCTAAAGACAAGAGTAGACCTTTTTACTTATGTTTGCTTCTGGTAAAAATCAATTGTGGAAGGCAGACAAGGCAAAAAGCCATAGAATGATTATGATTCTTGTGTGTTCAAATTCCTTGGTGACTACATTTTTTAAAAAAGGTAAAAACTCCCCTGTCTACTCTTACCATTCCTATTTAACATCACATGGAACTCCTAGCCAGGCACGTAACAGCAATAAAAGACATAGAGACTGGAAACAAAAGCTGCTCAACTTAAACCTTCCCATATACATAAACCCAAGATGTATCACAGATCTAAAAGTAAAATATTAACACTATAAAACTTTTAGAAGAAAACATAGGAGGAAATCTTTGTGATCCATGTTAGGCAAAAAATTCTCAGATATGATACCAAAAAAGAATAGGTTGATACACTGAACTTTATCCATATTAAACCCTTTTGCTCTGTGAAAGACACTGTTAAGAGAATAAAAGCTACAGTCCCTCAAATGGTTAAACACAGAGTTACCGTATGACCCAGCAATTCCGCTCCTGGGTATTTACCCTAGAAAAATGAAAAGGTACGTTCACACAAAAACTTGTACATAAATATTTACAGTAGCTTTATTCATAATTGCCAAAAACTGGACCAAGCTAAATATTCTGCAGTGGTGCCTAGATAAACTACAGTCCATCCCTACAATGGACTAATACTCGTCAATAAAAAGGATAAAACTATGGATATGTACAATGACTGGAATGAATCTCAAAGGCATCACACTGAGTGCAAGAAGCCAGTCTCAAAGAGATGACATGCCATCCATGTGACATCCTCAAAAAGGCAAAACCACAGTGATGGAGAATACATCAGTGGTTGCCAGGGGCTAGAGGTGGGTTGAGGATGCAACTACAAAAGGGCAGCACGAGAGGTTTTTGGGGGAGATGGGACTGTTTTAAATCCTGACTGCAGTAGTCATTGCATGCATTTAGGTATGTTTTAAAACTCGTAGAATTTTATACCAGAAAAATTCCAATTCACTCTGTATTAGTTCGAAAAACAAATAACAAAATAAGAAATTGGATCCCTGATGCCACAGTCAGCAAATACACAGATGTTTACACAATTGCTCATCAGGATGTATCTGGGTGGGGAAGTTTTAAGTCCTGAGATTGATAAGGGTGTCAAGAGGCATGGCTGTCTTCTTAGTGGTTTATCAGAAGCCAGAGATGCAAAGATGTGGATTCAGGCTACACAGAGTGAGGAGGCAGAAGGTGACCCTGAGACACCTTCCTTTTCAACTTTCCCCCACCAATGTTGAGGCTATGGGGGTTGTATCTGAGCATCTGGGGAGACGTTTGGGGACAATGCTTCTTGTGTGCCCACTACCCTGGCTCATGCCCTACCTGTTCACGCAGATGGCCTTAAAAAATAACCAAAACAATTCAAGCAGGTGTAGCCTCTTTAAAATCATGCATTATTTGAACTCAACTAGTTTTCAAAACAAAAACTGAAATTTGTATTTTAATTTCCTTAATGCTTAAATTGCTTTAGGCATGACAAAAATTCCAAGACAAAAAAACTGTCAACACTTTGTACAACCTTCAGAAGGCATTTTCTCGTGATGATTTTTGTGCTTTGTTCCTTTGAGAAAGTAATCGAATACTCTTCATTTTGTTTTTCACTTCTCTGACTAATTTAAACCATTTGTTCACTGTTGAAGATTTATGAGCTTTCCACCTGCCAGTTTATTTTTTTACACATCACTGACAATAAAAATAGCTGTAAGACAGTGGAATGGCAGGTCAAAGCCCCTCCTGTGAGCTGACAGCCCTTGTTTTCCATGAGCAGATGACAGTGGATCGAGTACGAGGTGGTATGTTGAACTTGCTTTTCTATTAAGTCAGTAAATTTATTGATGATTTTATGCTCGTTTGGTTTCACAGGAAAACAAACATCAAAGACCAATATGTGATAACCTCAGTGTTTTCAGCTTTCTCCCAGACAGTGTCCCTCCAGTACTGCTCTAAATGCACTTGATTTTGCATCTGAAAGCTGTACATTTCAGAGAAAAATGCAGAAATTTCTTTTTTTATGGACTCAAATGCTATTGGGTTTGTCCGTTTCATTCGCTTGCAGATGAGACCATAACAAATTAATTATTTCATATTTTGCTTTCTGAGTTTTGAACAGAACTGTGACTACGGCTTTGGATAAGAATCTACCACAAGGATTTTGGTGACAACAGCAGAAAAAAGCTGGAGCCCTTAGAGCTAAGCCTGGTTTGTACACAACTTGCATATCCTCATGAGAAAATGGCTTTCCATCCCTGTACTTATTTTCACGTAGCAACTCATCTTTTTAAAACTTCTTGAAACATCTTGATAGTATCGTCATTCTTATGACTGCTCATTGTGGCACACTGGGGCAGAAATTATTGTATCAAACTTACAGATGAAGTTATTTGCCTGAAGTTAGGTTGGATCCATCGAGGCAGAGCTGGAGAACCCCTGGGGCTATTCCTAGTTTCCTAGCACCACCTCCAGTTCATGGGGATTCAACCAGAAATACAAAGTTAACAGAGCCGCTAAGGCGCCCAGTCGTCAGGGTATTCCAGTTCCTGCCGAGCCAACTGCCACTCCCCATGGCCAGCCGTATCTCTGTGTATCCAGCACCGGTTGGGCACCTGCAGACAGGCACCGTGCAGCATAAACTACTTTAAAAGATGTCGTAGCTTTTGTACGTGTGGCCAAAAGAAACTTATTTCTAGGATGCTGACAGGCCTGGCAACCAGACTAGGCAAAGTTAAATGTTTTTTGGGACCATTCAATTGTGCTACCCTCTGAGTAGATACAGACTTCATAAAAATGATATAGAAAAATAAGAAAAGAAAAAGGGAAATCTTCATACTTCAATTTGTGATAATTTGATGACATTTTACTTGGGAAAAAAATCATTAATGCTACTTAGAGATGGCCCCAAAATGATTTGCTAAAGTTTAATATGCTTAAGAAGAACAATTTCCTTAATGAAGTTATCTGCTTCCTCAGGTTTTCATGACATACCCGGATATGTACCATTGGGTTGCTAAGCAAAGCCACAGGATGTCATTTAATACGTCCTAATTACATTTAGGTACGCAGAGCTTTCAAATGACCCCATTAAACTGTGGTGCATGCAGATGGTTTGGCTACAGCCCCTTTGGGTGCAAGCTGGAAATCTTATTAACGAAGATCTGTAAAACACAAGTACATCTCTTCTCAGTCCTGATTTCACTCTTAACAACAAGCCTAGAGAACGAGCTCCGAGTACCAGCTTGGCACGTGGATCTAGATCACCTCTGTCCCTTAGGTCCCTGATCAATGGCCAGAGACAGGTGTGAGTGACAGTGCCCTGGATCCACTGTTGTCTTCTCAGCGGTGACTGGGAACTGCTGAGGGATGTACATAGTCTCTGGATTCACAAAGGCAGCCTTTAGGATCAGGGTTTCTCAACCAGGGTGCCCCCAGGGGACAAGTGATAATGTCTGGAGACATTCTGGGTTGTTGGGGGGAGGGTAGATGTGCTCAGGAGAGCCTTCCACAACAAAACACTGTCCGACCCAAAACACCAACAGCACCGACATTGAGAAACCCACTTCAGATGAAAACTGAAAGAAAGGTTGTAACTCCAAGTGTTGTTGCGACTCACTATGAATTTACTCAGGACTCACGACACAACAAAATCTCAGAAAGGGGTTGCCAGTGTTTCCTGTGGCTGTATCTTCCCTTTGAAATTGCTCCCGGTGGCAACCTGTAGGCGGCACAGTGGGGGACCGCGTGGCCTCGTGCATGCCTTTCCTGCTTCCTTCAGGTCCCTCTTCTTCCCCAGGGCCTGCAGCGCCTCTCCCAGGCCAGCCATCCTCCAAACCGCAGCCTGCACGCTAGACTGAGGCTCCAGGGCCCGTGTTCCAGCTCGGCCGCTCACTGGCTTGGGAGCTTGGGCACAGACTAACGTGGGGACCCCTCTCTTCACCTTTGAGCTGAGGAGCATAGTAGTGTGTACCTCATAAGCTTTGGTAAGAATCTGTGCAAAGTAAAACACCCATGCACGTCAGACTGGCGCTGCGCTGCTGTTCCCATACCCATCAGCTGCTGTCGTCGTTCCTTCCTGGATCAAAAGGGTGCTCGACTGCACACCAGTCAGACAGGGAAACAGAGTAATTTAGTTCATTCTACAATCTGAAACTTTCCCCGCCTAGGGAGAGCTGTATTTCAGGAGAGAACAAAGGCAAAACCCAAAGGAATCAATCTCTCCTGATGGACTTTCAAGTTCTCATGACAAGGAGGGGGAATATTTTTAAAGGGGGAAGTCGTCATTTTTTCCTTTAATCAAGCTGGCTCTGGCTATCTTTGAAGCCTCTTTCTGTAGGAATCTGAAGCTCCTGCAATCTCTAAAGGACCTTGTTATGGAAATAGGATGGCCCAAGGGTGTTGCCTGGGCCTACCACCCAGTTTCTCCTGGATGAAAAACACTTTGCACTTGGTTCACCCAAGGACAGGCCACCACCCTTCTCCTGCTTTGCTGCTCTGGGGCCACTGGCGCAGTCTAGCAGCTGCCTCAGTGTCTCTCTTTGTATCTACCTGCTGTCACCCACTTACTTCTTTATGCCTCCAACTCATCTGTCATGTGCCCTCACTCCCCACCTGCCCACCTGGATACGCTGACCTGCTGCCACCCACCTGGATATGCTGACGTGCTTTACTGCCCACCTCGCTATGCTGACCTGCTTCGCTGCCTGGCCTAACTCCAGGGCTCAGGGGACAACTTCCTCTCCAGGTGGAAGGAAATGCATTATATACCTTATTATACTTGTTCCTGGAACAGGGCATATGTGTTTATCAGAGTAGAGCTGCTTGGGCCTTGTTTGGGTTTCCCAGGGTTACTTCGTTATGATAAAATAATAAAAACTTTGCGGCTGAACCAAGAGAAATTTATTTGTTCATAGTTCTAGAAGCCCAAAATCAAGGTCTAGGCAGGGCCCTGCTCCCTCTGAATGCTCTAGGGGATGATCTTGCCTCTTCCTAACTCCTGGTGCCTTCATCGTCACATGGCATCCTGTTCCATGTGTCCTCTGTTTTCAAATGGTACTTCCCTCTCTGAGTCTGTGTCCAAACTCCCCTCTTCTTTTAAGGACACCAGTCATTGGATGTAGGGCCCACCCAAGTCCAATATGACCTCATCTTAATTTGACCACATTTATAAGACCCTATTTCCAAATGAGGTCACACTTTGGGAGGGCATGAATTTTGGAGGTGTGCTATTCAATGTAGTACAGGCCTCTAGGAATAATTTTTCTGTAGCAGCCCCTTCTTTCCAAAGCACAAAGGTACACCGGGCATCTGGGTTCAAACCCTTTTGTACACTGTGAGCCCACCTCTCCCTCCTGCACCCAGGGCTGCAGGCGAGTCTGCCACTGTGGCCGAGTCCTTCCTCTACTTCAGACTTTTCCGTCAAAGACTCAGTCTCCTTCTCTGCAGTCAGGTGCCATTGGTTCCCTCCATTCCCGAGTCTCCCAAATAAAATTATGTATGAATGGACCCCAATCATGGAGAGGCTTTAAAGGAACCCAAGGCTCCCTGCCAACAGGAGGGTGGGTTGGGTGTCACTCAATGCCAAAAAGCAGTGTTCCCAGATTCCCCCTCTGACCCAGTGGGTCCCTAGAATATATCACCCTTCTGTAGGAATCTATGGATTGGGCCACTGGCTCTGCCCACTCTTTTTTATTATTATAGTAAGAGACTTAACCTGCTACAAACTGCACCAACCCATGGTGAAGGGACAGCACAGCCTGGTGGAAGAACACACACCCTGGCACAGCAGGTGAATCATAGGGCTCCAGCTGGGCCACCTACCAGCCATGTGGTCACAGCCACGTCACCCCATCTCTCTCCACTTCTGACATTCAGATCAACAAATGCTAAAGCCTCAGTTGGCTTGGGTTCTCCAGCTTATCAAACGGAACACACTGCCACACGCCCTAACAAGTGCCAAGAGAGAAACAAAATCCCTTTGCGGAAGTGAGCACGTATTAAAAACCTTACTTTTGAAAGTGTTTGTTAAACATATTTGGTTTGAGATGGCATGAAAGACGACCCTGGCAGTCTCCTAACAAGGTTATAACAGTCTTATTCCGTTTTGAGGTAGGCACAGTGTGGTCAGTAAATGAACCAGAGAGTAGGAACCTCGGAACTTCATAGGCAAAGTGAGGCTTCCCCCCACCCCCACACAAATATTAGAATTATTAACATTATTCAGAGTCTGGTTGGGGACATAGTGGATCTCCTGAAATTTGGACATAGGAATGCTTTACACATGCAACGTGTTATAAAATACAAACAATGCTTGACAGAGCTCCTCCTACCTCAATTCCTTCTTTGTTTAAGGCATATTCATCGAAATTCAGAATGGCTATCTTAATCGTCCTCGGAGGGGGCAGCACAGTCAGACCGATATTGATGGCATTGCTCCTCTTGGAGTCCAGAACGATGATCTCTTGCCTTTTTCCATCTGCAGCAGTTTTCTTGGTGATAAAACAAGGAGAATCCAAGATTAATTGCATCATCTTGGGTCCTTTCTGTGTTTCATTACTAAAAGCAAACTCACTACACATTTAAAGATGACAAGTGGCCCGATTTCAGCTCAGAGAAGGACTGGCTACCGCTCGGCACAGAAGAACACAAGTAGGGATTTGCTCTGAGAAACTGCCAAGCTTGGGTCAGCAATGGAACTTCAGAGTCAGACACAAAATAAAATTGATTTTCCTTCAATTGGGGAAAAATGTGATATTTTGCAAAAAAAAAAAAAAAAAACCAACAAAACCCCAACCAGTTTTTTCCATAGAAGCAGTGAAAACAAAACCAGAACTTTTCAGAGTTCCTATCCTGTGGGCTCCGAGGTGTCAGAATGTGTCTTGGTTGGCTTTATTACACGTGGTGTGCGCCTGGAGAGAGCTGGTAGACATGCCGAGAAGACAGGACTGACAAGGGGGACCTGGCATCCCTGGCCTGTCAGGCTCCCCCATCTCTGGCTGCACTGTCTCAGGGTACCCCCACCCAACCGTTCAAACATCCCATGCCCCTCACACCAGGACACCTCCACCTGTCCTGCCACCCTTCCACCTCTGTACGGATCCCCCCTGGTGGAGGGAGAGGGGCCTTCCGAGGAAGAGGAATGAGAGAGCGTGCACTGGTACAGATGAATAAGGGATGAACAGGCACAGAGGCTGAGGAAGGGGACAGGGGTCAAGAGGTGTCCTGGGCCTCACTCATCTCTGCAGCCCCTCTGGCCAGCCCAGAATGAACACATGAGTGGAACTCAGTGTGTGCTATGAACTGAATATTTTCTTCCCTCCCCCCGAAAAAAATTCATATGCTGAAGCCCTAACTCCCAATGTGATGGTATTTGGAGGTGGAGCTTTTGAGGTACTTAGCTTTAGATGAGGTCACAAGGGCAGGTTCCTTGTGATGGGATTGGTGTCATTATAAGAGACCAGAGAGCTAACTCACTCCCTCTGCCATGTGAGAACATAGCAAGAAGGTGGCCATTTGCAAGCCAAGAAGAGAGCCCTCACCAGGAACCAAACTGGCCGGTACCTTGATCTTACACTTCCTATCCTCTAGAACTGTGAGAATTGAATTTCTATCGTTCAAGCCATGGTCTGTGGAACTTCACTACGGCAGCCCTATCAAACTAAGAGTGTGAAACGCTGAGCCAACCCTTGTTACCGCCCAGATCTGCAACAAGACCACAGCTTTCCTCTTCAGCTCTCAGGAAGTTAAGGGCAGGTGGCAATGGGGGGCAGGTGAGAGGAGACCTGGCTCTGCAAGCTCCCTGCTCTTCCCATGAGGCAAACACATCTGGGAGGATGACTATTGTGACTCACACCATCTAGAGTGACAAAGACAAATAAGGCACAGTGTGGCTCTCCAGAAGGAAAAGACACATTCAGCACAATGATGGGGTATGCTCACTGGGCAAGGGACCCCAACAGTGGAGTAACTGCAACTCACCTGGTGGTGGAGGGGATCAGTGTCTGAAAGAGCTGACCCTTGAGCTGGGCCCTAAGGAATGTCTAGGCTCTAGAGAAGGTAAGGAGATAACAAGTGGCTTTGTTTAGGTTGTTGGGAACTGCCATGGATGAGGCTGGAGGTTTGATAGGGCTACATCCCACAGGACCTCCTGACCCAGATGCCCGCCACTCACCGTCGGATCTCCTGTGCTGAGGCCTCACCCTCTCCTCTGAAGAGGGAAACCTGGCTGGGCTTGGAAGCTGCTGAGCCATTGGAGAAGCTGGCCTACCACAACACTAGGGATGGGGAGGTGTTGAGGAAAACCGGGCTTAGGGCCAACTTAAATCCTCCTGGGCCCTTCCAAACTTAATTGCTAAAATTCTATTTTAGATTCTTAAATATGCATTTGGAAATAAACTCAAATTTATTTAACTAAGACCAAGCATCCCCAGAAAGCACCCCAGCTGTTTTGGGGCCTGGGGGCCAGGAGGGGCAATTCCTGTGCGTGGGGTCACTGGATTTGAGCAGTGGGCGCAGATGCATCCCCACTCTGCAGGGAAAGCTTTCTCTTCTATACAGTTAACCAAATAAACTTATCAGGAGCCCCTGGAAATTCTCAATTTCAAATCTAATTTAATGTAGCTTTCAAATCTAATTTAAAGTATTATGCTGTGTGTGGAATACTAAGAAGGAATGAGAAAGGTTTGACGAAATGCTGGGTACAGGCAATGAAGAGGGATGTTACAATGAGCCGGGCGCCTGCTTCTCCAGGCACTACTGGGCACCCACCCAAAATCCATTCCTTCTTCCCTGTGCACGAACAGGACCCCGATGTGTTTTGGCTGGCAATATGTCAGTTAAATCAGTTACCTCCCTAGACCCTCTGCAGCTAAAGCTGGCCCTGTGACTTGGTTCTGGCTTCTGTTTTCCTGATTAAGAAGTGATAAACCCAGGGGGCCATGCCTTGGGCCCTTCCCCCTTCTTCCTGCCTAGAATGCAGACTTGAGCCTGGAGGCACAGCAGCAGGCAGCTCCTGAGTGTCAGGGATGAAGCCACTAGGATGGCAGCAGGGATTCCCTGGGAATCATTAGTCCTTAACCCCCTATCCACACAATCCCTGTCACTTGAGAAGCCTGGAGAGGTGGCCAAGCAGGCCCAGCTGGCCCAAATGGAGCCTTTGTACAGATGAGAAAAAGAGGACCCCTCCACCCACCACTGAAACATAGCCCCACAGCAAACAGCTTGGGAGACAAGCACCACTTGGATTTCAGGCCCGTCCCTGGCAGCCAGTGCCATGTGTAGCAAACCACCTGTACAGACCCACGTGGTGGCTCTGTGCCTGACATGCCCATTCTCAGTAGAGCTCAACTGACACAACGCACACACCCCTGTAAGTCACTGAGGAGTGAGCCATTGAGCATCCTCAGGTCATGGGGAGAGCGGTCCCCACAGAGGATTCCACCCACATTGTGAAGGAAAGAGTAAGAATTAAAGTAATAACTGAATTTGAATTACGCAATCTCTGGATTTTAGCAAAAGGTTGTTTTTAAGTGCTGCTTCTCATAATTAAAATAAATCTCCATACGATGCTACTGAACCCTTGAGTGTCTTCTGGTTAGTTCTGCACAAGATGGGGGAGTGGGGAAGGTGGGGCTGTCCAAACCTCTCCTTCCCTCCCACAGCAACCTACAGCAGCACATGCAAGAGCCAGCCCAATCTCTCTGTGCCCGGGACACATATCTGTGTCTACGTATTAGCATCCATCAATTCTGACCCATTTCGATTGTTCTTCTGGGCCAAAGACCCAGATCAGCTGTAGTGAACTTCACTAGGTCCTCCACACGGTCCTATGACAGAGCTGCTATGGTGCACCCTTCTTTCGCAAAGCCTCTCATGCCCGTGCCTCCTTCTCCCCTCCTGTCTCCTCCACTGGGCCTGACCACCCAGCACCCAGAGCAGCCCGCCCTGGCCTCCTGCATCCAGTCTCCTCTCCTCCCAACCCCTCCATCCTACTCTTGCTAAAAGTCTTCTGCAGACACTTTTCCTTACAGCGTTTCTCTGATCACAAAGCCACAGGGATTGTACATTGTTTGGAATTAGAAAATTAGGAAACTGGTCAATGATGGGAAGGGGATACAAGGCAGAGGTCCTTGTGAAGGTTCAAAAAGGTAAATGTCCCTCTGATGGCATCTGGAAGGAGAGAGTGAGATGTGATAGGGCAGAGGTGGGACTGGGTCAAGGAGAGGAGAGTTGGCAACACTTCTAGGGGAAAATCAGAAAGTTGTTTTGCATTTGATAGGGGACCAGATAGCCACCCCAAAATACCCAAGAAAATAAAGCTCAAAACCTCTTGAAGTATCTTCTACCTGAAAAAAATGACATCATTTTCTTGAGAGTAATAAAAGAAGACCTAGATAAATGAGAAACATCATGTTCTTAGACAAGAAGTTTCAGTATCATATGGATGCCAGTTATTTCTCATCTAATAGATCTATTTAAAGTAATCCTATCAAAATTCCAATAAGATTTGTTTTTGGAATCAGAAAAAAATTCTGAAGTTAATATTAAAAATATAGGTACAAAAATTAATATTCTTAAAAAGTAGAGTTATATATAATATCTACCCAATCAATTATAAACTGTGTAGCACAGGAATAGCTAGCACGAAAGAACAGAATAGAATGGTAGCACAGAAAAAGCCCTTATACCATGGTTCAGGGCATTCCAACAAAGACACCAAGATTAGTGACCCAAAATCTAGCATAAAAGTCAATTTCTAATACGAAACCTCCAATCAAGGGCCAATATCCAGAGTCTACAAAGAACTCAAATCATCAAGAAAGAAACCAAACCACCCCATTAAAAAGTGGGCAAAAGACATGAAAAGTTTTTGAAAAGAAGATAGACAAATGGCCAAGAAACACATGAAAAAATTTTGGTCAATGTCGCCAATCATCAGGCAAGCGCAAATTAAAACCACAATGAGATATCACCTTACCCCTGTTAGAATGGCTTTTATTAAAAAGTCCAAAAACAATGGATGCTGGCATGGATGCAAAGAGACAGGAACACTTGTACAAATTGGGACTACAAATTAGTACAACCCCTGTGGAAAACAGTAAGGAGATTTCTCAAAGAACTAAAAGTAGGCCTACCATTTGATCCAGCAATCCCACTAAACCCGGTTAGCATATACTCAAAGGAAAATAAGTCATTTTATTAAAAAGACATCGGCACTCGAATGTTTATAGCAGCATAATTCACAACTGCAAAGATGTGGAATCAACCCAAGTGCCCATCAATTCATGAGTGGATTAACAAAATGTGGCATATGTATACCATAGAGTACTACTCAGCCATAAACAACGATGAATTAATGCCTTTTGCAGCAATTTAGATGGAACCGGAAACCATTATCTTAAGTGAAATATCTCAAGAATGGAAAAGTAAACACCACGTGTACTTTCTAATAAATTGGAACTAACCGAGGGGCACACATGTGCACAGAGGG